GATATCAGAAAGTGCAGTGCGAAGGAAACATGATGAATAAGAAGATGTGGTGGTTGGTAGAGAGTTTTTGACAGTGCACCCTGTGTACACTCCCCCATGTGCTGACCACAGCACTCACACCAAGCAGAGACACAGAGAGAGAAGCGATTTGACCTTTTCAGTAGGTCTTTGGATGTCTCTTGCACAGCCCATGGCCCTGGGCGAAGAAAAACTGAAAATCCACTACAGGCCACTCAAACACACACACACACACACACACACACACACACACACACACACACACACACACACACACACACACACACAGTGCAGCACAGCGGAGAGTGGCCTCTTTACCTTGGCCTGTCGCCTTCTCTCGCTGCCCTTTCTAGTGAAAATGTCAGCCCTTCCTTCTCTTTCTCTCTCTCCTTTTTCTGCTTCTCTGCCCAGGTGACACAAGATTCATACGGCAAAAATGAAGAAAAACAATGTCCACCCACCCTGCTCCACAAACACACACTGTACCACAAATGTTTCAAGCGTCTAGTTGATGGTGTTTGGAGCTTGCAGGCAGTGTCTAACTTAAACTTCAGCAGTGCAAGGCATGATCACTGCTGACACACAAAATGGAATAGAAAAGGCAGCTACACTGACTCAGTGAAACCAGCATGAATGTGCTGAAGTACCTTTCTGACCAGTGGGCAGTAGATGAGACGGACATGATTATGAGACCACTGTACAGAACCAGAAAACAGATAACCCTGAGCTGAAACACACACACTAACTCACACACATTGCCAATGCCACTCATCTGGCATCTACAAAAGCTAGAAATCAAATCTTATAAATGTTTTTAGTTTTTTTTAAACAGTGTTACAGCCACTAATGCATACTGTTTTCATTCACAAGTCCTTGCAAAACAAAAGTAAACTCTTCAAATAAAAAAACCTTAGCTTCACTAATGCATTCATCTTCCTGAAATATGAAGGATTACACAAAAAGTACAACAGCACTTCATCTGATCCTCAAAACACAGAACAGATATAATTGAAAACACTGTCATTTTAAAATAAGAGATACTGTTCCATCATAACCTGAAAATGCTTAGCAACAGCTACAGTATATTTGTGAGTGATCTGCTCTGTTGCAACTACCCCAAAATGTAACACAAGGCGAAACAGAAAACAGACTAAAGTCTGTCTTATCAGGGAACTCTAATAGAGAAGTGGAAACAGGAGAAAGGAGAAGACTCATTAAAGAGAAAGCATTTTTGAGCAGCTCTCATTGCCTTTCCATTTATTGAGCAGCTGTAAACTCTTTTAAAATTAATTTATAGCCTGAACACATAAGAGGGAGAAAATTAAAAACCTGGAAATATGTAAAAAGAGAAACAAGAAGGCTTTGTGAGGAAAGAAAATTTAAATTGGTAAACAGGAGAGAGGTAGAGAGAATATAGGGAATTTATGAGAGACACTGGCAAAGACAAGATGAAAGCTAGAGAGGAGGTGTACTGTGGTGTTAGTCAAGGTCAGACTGTGAAGAGGGGAATCCTACTGCTACTCCTGAGGGCATGTGGACCGTGGACATTGTGGTGTGTTATTATGTGCATCTGCATGCATGTAAGGTGGATCTGTGAAACTACTTTTTGTTGTCATCTATTAAGATAAATGCGCAAAACTCTGGGATTGATTTATTTGGCCAAAGCAAGACCTAAATTATCCAATTACAGCTCTGTGTACACAAAGCTGAAACACACTATATTTCAAACATCTTTCATGAGAGGAGTCCATATGAATGAGCCCATTGTGGTGTTCACTCAAATATACATTTTGTCATAGCTTAAGTTCAAATGTTGTGCCACACTGACTACTACTCCTAATTATGATTACAAACAACCATGGGCAATGTATGTTGTACAATAAAATGTTTCCAAATTATAATCATAGCAGAGCTGCAACATTGATTGATATTAAATCAATTAGTCATTGGACAGAAAATAAATTGGCAACTATTTTATAGCTGAATCATAATGTCATTTTTCAAGCAAAAATAACCAAACATTTGTTTCTCAAATGTGAGAATAAGATGCTTTTCTTTGCTTTTCCATGCATGATAATACACTGAATATCTTTGGATTTAGGTGAAGACATTTAAATACATCATCTCAGGCTGTGAGAAATTTTAACAGATATTATTCACTAGTACTAATAATCGTTAGTTGCCATCCTAGATAATAGATAAGGGCAGTAGTCCTTTACAGCACGTGCTCAAATACAATATACAAGATGTATTGCCCCCTGTAATCCTTTGAACATAAAACAATCTCTACAGCGTTGACATGACATGAATTAAAATGGAGCCGCAGCACACCCCAATCTTCTTGCATCTTGCAGCAAACTGAAACAAATTACTTGACATAATCTGCAAATGCTAACCGACCATGAGTGCAGTGTGAGGATGCTAGCTGTCTGCGGGTTCTATTTTCATGCCAGGGTAAAAGCTAGAGCAAACAGCGCTATGACAAGGAAGCAAAAAAAATGACATGGCATGCCTTTGTCTTTGACTCCAGATCTGCGGTGTAGTTTATTCACACTTTGCCGCTATGTATGAAAATAATAACATTTTCCTATTTAAAGAAGCCATCTCTCTATTTTGGTAAGTCGTTTTTGTCACGCTCCACTGTGACTGGCACAGCTGTTTAAAGAGTATGAGACAAGTGAAATAACTTGCTTTACTACCATACCCTCCAATTCTTATGCCATTTGTATTAACCCCTCCCCACTTTTTGCTCATAGTTCTCCTTTGCCTGCATGAGCAAAAATAGCAGGTGTGCATAGAAACAGTCAAACAGTTCTCGTATGTAAGACCTAGCTCTGCACACTGTTCATTCTCATAGAACTCCTTATCTCATCTTGCTCACGCATAGAACTAGCCTCGAGCTAGACAAGGTACCTCTAAGACAATGCATGGTATAAGAACAGAAGAAATAAAGTCTTTGAATGCTTCAGTTGAGGAATTGTGTTAAACAATGGCTGAGAACTGCCTCAGAATCCGTGGCACGTACACTATACAAAATTGCAGATACTAAATATTATTGATAAACCTACCTCATTTTTATTTGCTTGTTTTTTTTTTATTAGAGCAGTCACACAACTGGGGAGGGGGTATAGGAGTTGCTAGGGGCAGGGACATGGTCCCTCCAGCTTCCCACCCACCAACTGCATCACTACAGTCTTTGCAGAAGTAGAAAAGTGCCTTTTCCCCTGTCAGTGTGCTTCCTCAATAACTCTATAGTTCAGGATTGTGTTTTCAAATTTGTAACCAAAACCAGAGACTCCTTTGTGATGGATAAAAGAGTACACATCTACTCTCATGGGGCCCCATTATGTGCCTACAAAGACAGCACTTTTTTTTTTTAGTTCAAACATACTCCACACTATTTTTGAGTGAGACTTAAGCTCAAGACCTAGCTCACTCACACAAACACAAAGACACACAGCAGAGCACTGCGGCTGGGCTGATCAATCTCCTCTCTGTCAGTCCTGTTTAGCATCAGGATGTTTGGTGCTGTCACTGACAGCCTGCAGAGACCATCCAATCAATAAAGAACTGGATATAGCATACAACTCCAATTGATTAATTGTTTCTGGCAAATTGGAACCAATTCAAACCTCACTCCTGCAAAAACATCACTGGCCTGCGGTCGTGATGCAACATGTATGACGTACTATACACAACTGTCAGACTTTTATTGAAGATGGTACAGTCAAACTTTACAAACAGGCAACAACACTGAAACCCCCCCTACAAGACTGAGAGCTTCAGCAAATAACTGATATATTCAACTACAGCAAACTAAGATACTACACTCTGTCTTGACATTCATCATCCCGGGGATAACACTCTGGAAACCAGTGTGTTAGCATCCAGTGGCAATATTTGTAACAAACTGGAAATTGAATCAAACTGTGTCCTTCTAGTGCTCCAGTTATTCCAAATGAAACACTGCAAACTCTCATTTGGTAACGTAACAGCACACAGATGATGAGATGCTTCAGGACGCTATTTTTATGTTTTTTTTTTCCAGCACAGAGCGTTCTGTGCTTGACTGTGACACAATGAATAAATCATACATGAAAAAAAGGGCAGTTATAATACAAATGACCAATTAATTAAAGCTGCAATAAAATTGGTGTATTTCACCATGAATTTATCATATTTTACATTTATATTATCAATAATCCAATAAAATGACATAAGCCAACAAAGAATTATCCTGCTTGTCAGGATCATGTGTGTAGCCAAAGTCTGATACCGACCTAAACTAGCTTGCAAGTCTAGAACTTCATTGCTGTCCACAAACAATGAAAAACACACAGAGAAGCGCCATACCACATCATTGGGTGGTATATTTCTCTATTACAATAAACACAGAACAGTCCTTTCAACATTGATCTACTCTGCAGTTATCTAAAAAATTCTTTGGCCATGATCATTTTAATCATGATTAATGATCAGTGTGTCACCCACTGCAACAATATCACTTTTTTGATTTTGTTTTACCAACCCGTTAAAGGGCCAGGACACAGTTGGATTGATTGGATTGCTTTGGAACCCCCCCACTGTTCTGATGTCAGGTGATGGGGGTGTGTGTGTTCAGCCATTTCTGTGACTTTTCAAAACCCACACTGCATCATTCACACCAACTTCACATAAATGAAACACTACAATCTAGTGCAGCACGAAAGCCTTCCTAGAGTGACTGTCTGAATATGTGCAACATTATCACCATTTCTAAACAATATCATGACCACTCTCTACAAAAGCCGGCTTTTCACCCTGCATTTGAGTGTAGCCATTTGGATCAAGTATAAATACTTTTGATTTCCAAAGTGGTTGGACAGCCCATCATACAAACCACCTCTTTTAGTATAACACGGCCCTTACTATTCCTGCATAATTCTCTATAATATGTGGTAAAAAGTAGGGTCTGAATGACCTGTAATGCATGATATCGTTACCTTCTCCTTGGTGCCAGCCTGTGTGGTATCGGGCCTGGTACGAATGGTAAATGGGGATGCAAGCCTCAGCAGGATTCCCTGGAACGAAGGCTCCATCTTGGGAGAGACAATCTCAAAACAGTCCCTGAATGAGAGGCTCCGGTGAGGCTCAATGCGAGCCTGCCTCCTCAGTCCTTCTCCGAGCTGCAGTAGCTCCATGCGAGGCCCCAGGACAAGGTGGAATGGAAAGGCACGGCAAAACGTGGCCAGGCCAATGCGCAGATCACTGGGGTTGGTGGAGAGTGAGGTGGGGGGCCGTTTGGTGCTCGCTGAGGCAGCATTTGGGAGGGAGGAGAGGGAAGGAGGGCACGTCTCCTGGATTTGGAAGGACAGGCAAACTGTGGGAACAGAGGTTGGAAAAGGAGAGGGAGGGGACGGGGACGAAGAGGGTGAGGCGGTGGGGGACGCAGTTGGAGTTGGGGTTGCAGAGTCACCATCTGTGTGTTCTGCATCTTCATTGGGCAATAAAGGAGTTAGAGGTGGCACCTCTTCCACCTCAACCTCTGAATGAAAGATACGCCTGGCAACAGCTCTGATTAAACCTGGCATGACCAATCCAACAACAGGAGCAGGGTTGAAACAATGAAGAAGCAACACTTTCCCTCTTCCACCTCGTTCTCCAATCTTGTCCAATTTTCTTCGCCCTTTCTCCTCCTCATGGGGATCCTTGCACTGGAAGGAGGGGCTCTCAGATGATGCACGGCGCCCCGTGGAGGTGCGAATGTGTTCCAAAATGGCGTCAAAGCCATTGAAGAAGTCCTGGAGGTTGCCACCTACGGCCCGAAGCACTCGTTCATTTTCTTCAAAACAGAGGCCAAAGAACTCCTCTCCAAAATGTTCTCGCAGCTCACAGAATGGTACTCCTGGGAGAGAGGGGATGCAAAATACCAATTTCAGCAATGCAGAATTATACTCTACTGAGGATACACACAAATTATCAACATAACAGAGAGAGATACACAACAAACCCAACAAAAACCAAGACTTGCATCTTGGTTCACTGTCTCTCAGTATATTTCTAAATGCAGAAATCTGCACTTGAACCCATAAGTATGTATAATAATGTCTTGTTACAGTTGCCTTCTAAATTAAACCTAATGTTACCTCAGCTCCAAGATTTAAATTCAGCAAAAAAAATTGAGCATATCAACCACAGAAAATCAAAGTAATCAAAGATCAAAGCCTTGCTAAAATAATGAATATTGATAAGATAAAATAATCATGTCACATGCCTACTGACTGAATAATACATAAAAAAAAAATGGGATTAAAGGATTACAGCAACATTAAAAATGACATTAAATATAAATAAAAATTCCAAAAATGTGCTTGAATATAAACAAAATTTGGGACGCGCTCATGTAGACATCACAGGACAGGACTACACAAACTGCCTGTGTCTGTTCAAAACGGAACTCATAAACTCATAAACACATAAACTATAATGATTTTAACATGGCACACAGTATTTACAACAGCACATACATGGGTGATAGATTTATGATATTGACAGCCAGATCATTGTGGCATCAGCAGTGACGTTGGGCAGTGACTGAAAAAAATGAAATCGCAAATACAAGGGGCCAAACAGTTTTTTTTTTTTTTTTTTTTTTTTTTTACATGACGACTGACTTCAACTTTGGAGACAAATTGGAGAAGAACTGCTGCTTTTCGAATTGAAAGCAGTCAGCTGAGGAGGTAGGGGAGGGACAGATGCCTTCCTTGGCACTAAGGCCTCCAGGACGCCTCCCGCTGGATGTATTTCAGGCATATCCAACTGGGAGGAGATCCCGGGGCAGATCCAGAACATGCTGCAGGGACTGTATATCCCATCTGGCCAGGGAACACTTCGGGATCCCGAGAGCTGGAGGATGTGGCTGGGGAGAAGGATGTCTGCTACCACGACTAGAACCCAGATCAGCGGCATAAAATGGATGGATAAATGGATACAATGCACCAAGTCAGATCCGTTTTACTCATGGAAGGCTGTCCCAGTTGCTGATTGTGTAACAAAACACTATAATTATACATAGACTGCGCGAACAAATTGAATGGACAGCATACCACAAATTTGCTCTACGCTTTTATTTATTTAAATGTAGCCTTTTTTTATTTTTGTCACAACCCAGAGAGATTGAGAGGAGAAAAATTAGATTTAAAAGAACAAGGTAGAAAGAAATGGAGAGAGGAGAGGATGATCTGTAGGCAAAAGCAGATGGAGACTAAGAGAGGGGAGGAAAAGCATGGCAGAAAGCTGAGAAAGCAAGAGATGGAGATGGATAAGAAGTTGACTGAGGGACAGAGGAGTTAACAAATACTGTGGCAGTTTACAGTTAATGCAGTGGCGGTATCTCAGCACAACAAAAAGACAGGACAGAGGAGGAGGACTAGGCAGATAGAGGCAGGACGAGATCTTAGATGGTACAGAGGGAGGACGAAGCTGTACCGGGTGACTCACCGGGACAGTGTGTGTGTGAATTGTTTTTTCATATTAGGCCATGGAGACAGTAGAAGCCTCCAGAGTGAGTCATCCAATGTGTGTGTGTTTTTGCATGTCTAAATAGTTGTATAGTTGTGTCTATTTGCGCACTACCTAGGCCATGATACTGTATCTCTATTCTTTTTGACTACAATGTGTTTTAGAGCCCTGGGGGTGGTTTCGTGTGTGTGTGTGTGTGTGTGTGTGTGTGTGTGTGTGTGTGTGTGTGTGTGTGTGTGTGTGTGTGTAGAATTGTCCACACACACATAAACAAACAATATTAATACTGAGGACATGCATAGGGGGAAAAAGAGAGAAGCATAGCTATTTGTGTCTTGGCATGAAAAATCTGAGTACAGTACAATCGATCCGAAGCAATAACATAAAAACAATACAGCCTGAATCAATGGGATGGGAAGTATATACTAAATATATACATAAACACATACTCACCCAGTATGGTGGCCATGTATTGTAGGATTTGCAGGACATCTTCCTCTGAACCAGAATTTTCTAGAAATGGACACTTGTCCTCTCTCTTCTCTCGTCGCCTCTCCTCACTGCCAACTTCCTGACACCTGTGAAAAACACAAACCCAACACATACATACACATACACACACAGGATACGCCATGAGATCAGCAAATAAGAAAAGCTAATGAGGTGTTCTTTAGGTAATGTCAAGATGAACGTCCATCTTATCGCATCAAGATGTACCATGGGCTTTTTCGTTTTAGTTGTTTTATGCCAACAGCCATCAGGCTGTATCACCTCACTACAAACTGTACTGTCACCTATTCTTCAGGACTGTTTTCTGTGATGTCTGCTGATGAGATTTGTTGTGGTGGTGGCAAAAATCTCAAAGATACTATCTGTGTGGATAAATACCACTAAGGTTAAGTGAGAATTTATACATTTTTTTGTGATCTGACACTTTGATTAGCCTGTGTAGGTTCATATTTGTTGGTCACTAAGCAGATCCAGCAATGCAGTGGGATGACAGAAAGACAGGGAAATGTGCTTAAATGTCATCTCAACAATGGTAATCAAGGAGGAGCAAGCAATGCTCTTTCACTTCCCCAGACAGATTTATTAAACACACATTTGTCCAACAGAAGGAATATTATTTGTTTTCAAGTTTATAGAGATACTGTATCTCACAATAACATTGGCCAAGATAATCATGCCATTAAATGTTTCTATTAGCTTAAAACACACACACCCATTATGAAGTATCACTTCACTCAATCACATCCCCAATAAGACAAACAGAAACCAGTGTAACAAAGTTACAATTCTGAAGGCCAGCTCAGACCAGTGTTTTTCAAACAAGGGCATAGTTGCATTGTACATGAATCAAGCAGAGAAAAAAAATGAGTGACAGGAAAATCATCACAGAAAAACAAAAAACCAGAAAGGTCCCGATCCAATGTTTATATTTGTATGCAGTATGTACTTCACGGACAGTGTTACAACATGTTGTGCCTGGTGGAGGGTTTTACTGTTTTGACAGGGAGGGATAGTAAAAAGAGAGAGGGAGAGACAAGAGGTGAAGGATTGTTGTCTATACAGTATGTCTGTCTGTCTCTCTGACTGGCTGAAAAAGACAGGGAGACAGGGAGAACGAGGGGTAGCAGAGACAGTGACAGGCTCACGGAGACTGAACAGGTGTGTGCATGTGCATGTGTGACAGACAGACTGACTGAGAAGTGAGAAAAATATTGGAAAAAGCGGAGAAAATGGGTGATGTGAGACGCCAAGACAAGACAGCAGGTAGACAGCAAGACACAGAGAGAGAAACTGAGTATGGAGATTGATGAAAGAGGACAAGAGTCAGAGAGGCAGACGGCAAGCGAGGAAGACAGTCTTACCTGATCTCTTGTTGTCTGTAGAATTGTAGAGTTCGCTGTAGGGCCTCCTGAACAGTCTGTGTCTGTGGGAAGGAGTGAATACATCAGACAAGTATATGTGTGTTTTTGTATGTATGTGCATTTATAGCACTTCAAAGCTTCAATATTGCATATATTCAGCAAATCCCTAGTAATAAAATTACACTGAAATTGGTTGCCTCCTTTATTTGTGTTGCGAATGGCTCCCATCACATCAGTGTTCATGAGGACACATTCTAAATCCATAACACAGTAAACACATGGTATTTATTTGGTTATGGATTCCATAATTATTGCAATTAAGACTTAGGCAAGCATGACAAACATCTAAGCAGACAAACGTGTCATCTGTAGTGTTATTGCAGGAAAAACACAGAAGACATTTTGACATGTCAAACTAAGAACTTCCATTTCGCTGTTTCAATTTCATGGTCCTGGTGTTGTGGATTCAGGCCCACAGTCACACTGTCATGTCTTACTGGGACACTTGTATAGAACACAGCCATCTGTTATTATTAACACCTGTGCTTTTCCTACTATGACAAGTAAAATATTTATTGTGAAAAAAGCTTATCTGTAAGAACACAGACTTCTAATGAAAAGTAAACATGGAAAACATACAGTACATTATATACAAATATATTTTCTACTTTGCTTGAGTATAGGTTGGTTCCACAGTGTAATTACTGGAAAAAAAACACAATTGCTCTAGTTAATTAATTTTTTTTAATTTTTGTATTTAATATTTACATCTTTCAAAGGTCTGGAAAAAGTTTTCAAAATTGCCAGTAATAATAATAATTTATAAATGACTAAAATAAATATACTCCTGGATTGTCTGTGCGTCTGTGTGTATGTGCATCTGTTTGCATCTCTGTGTGTGTGTGTGTGTGTGTGTGTGTGTGTGTGTGTGTGTGTGTGTGTGTGTGCAGCTGGCGTATTTTGCGTTACTGACAATCTAAGCTTGAGAGGGCGGGTCCAATGTGATTATCTGTGATGCGGCTCGAATGCTGGGCTGTAGTGACAATACTAGAACACAGTGTGCCAGCTGGAGAGGTCATTCTAGGGCCTCCGCCCATTCCGGACAGATACAGGAGCGATTTGGTGTATGTGTGTATGTGTGTGTGTGTGTGTGTGTGTGAAGGGACAGCGAGGGAGTGAGACAGATTGTAGAGCAAAAACATGGGAGGAAAGAGAGACAGTATGTACAGTCAGGGAACAAATATTAATGTTTTAAAGGTTAATACAGTTCATAATACAGGTGTCATATTGTCTCTAACCAACTGGACAAATACAAATGTTTTTTCTTTATGCTGCATTTACTGTACATATGTTTAACAACATCTGAAACAACACCTGCTGATAGAAAAATATTGTCTCTACAGCGAGCCACATGTCAACTTAGCAACAACAGGGACAAGATGGGCATTTTATACAAGCAACTGTGTAGACCCATAAATACGTAGAAGGCCATACCTTTACAAACTATTTATGAGAAAAAAACTTTTACTCCCTGTTAGCACTCTGTTCCCCAGTTACACATTTGTGTTAATGTCTACAGTATATGTGTGCGTGCATGTGTAACAATAGAAATGGTGTATTCTCATGACTGTCCCCTCTAACTGCATCCTTGATTCAGCTACTCATTTACCACTGAACACGCACATTGTAGTGTGTGCACACAAGATTCTACAACATGACCAAACACACTGTCACAAATTGTTATCAGCCACACACGAACACACACACACGAACACACATACACACACACATGCACACGTACACATGTGCAAACATACTATACACATACATCATCATTAGTCTGCATTGTTACAATCACTGGCATGTTTACTGTACACACCCCGTCACACATTAATCTCACTCAGTCGCGCACACAAGCGTGCTTAGATGGTAGGATATGGTTAGCAGCTAGTAGACTAATCAAGATCGCCTGGTCGTTGGGATAAGTTTCTCACACAATATCTATTCAGAAACAGAATCATGCTGATAAAGTGAATGTATCTGAACTGAATTAAAATCTTAAAAAGATAAATTATTGCAATGATGACAGCGTGTAGACTGGTGAAAATTGTGTTCAGCAAATATTGGGGTATAAACTCTCAAAAGCTCCCTTCTTTCCCCTTATACTTTATGTTTATCCTTTCTTTCTCTAGTTCCCATCATCTTTATCCAAACCACTCTGCCTTTCTTGTTTACTCTGTTTCTTTACTTTGGGAGGGGAGCAGAACCTGACCGATGTTCTCCATTCCTCTTGCTCTGTTGCTCTGCATTGCTTTCTTTCCATGTGAGGCTCAGTTATACTTCTCTCGACTGTAGGTGAATCTGCCTTCCCTGTCTGTCTGTGTGACTGATTCCCTCCAGCACAAATATACACACACACACACACACACACACACACACACACACACACACACACACACACACACACACAGTGCAGTGGACCAGCTCTTTGTTTCCTCCTCTTATTGTATCTTCCTCCTCCAAATTTCTATTAGCATGAACTGCTGTGGTCTATGGTCACAGAGCAGTAGATACTGGTGCTTCAGCACAGTTGGAAAGCTGTCACCAGTACTAAAGAAAATAGAAACTCATACACCAGATGAGACCTCGCAAGATAAATCCCAGCATGAGACGCATCAGGCCTCTCTGTCAGAGAGCAGGCAAGTAATAAAGCTGGTACAAAGAAAACAGTTGCTGTCGCAATCTGCTTTAAATGGTTAGAATGCAGCCAGTGCATCGGACATGGCAGTGGTAAATATTTTGCCCTGGCTGGGATAAATGATATGATATAATATCTGGCTGTTAGTCCCTGCAAAGGTTGAATGTACTTACTCTAAATTGCTTTGGACAAACAGGAATGTGAATGAATGTAAATTCTGACAAGTTGAAGAGACAATGATGTATTTTTAAAAATCAGTTTTTTTCAGTTGTTACTGAAATTTATACAGTGTACTGTATCAGTGCTTCTGAAAGTAAAGCATAGACCGACTGAATAATAAAGACTGAAAAAAAAGGAGCACCGTCTTGTTCTTTTCTTCTAAGGTTTAGGGTCATTATCTTGCTGTAGGATAAAGCCCTGACCAAACAGTATGTCTTCCTTTGATAGTTGTCTTTTTATCACCATTCTGATAGCAATATACAGTACTGCTTCCTGCAGTACAGTGTTGTCTTAATAATGGACCGTGAATGTCAAAAAACTTACATGATTCCAAAATCTGTACTGCTATGTTGTTTTCATTATTATTATTGTGAATGAAAAATGGCCATTGGAGTTATGAATGGTTAGAGACCATCTCATGATGAGATCACACCAGCCGATCACAGCAACCAGTACTCATGGGTCAGACTACACCCATTTTCAAACTTGGCCTTCATTTTGATATCAACTACACACCTGTAAGGTTTCAAGACTGTATCTTACACGATTGTGACGCCATTGTGTTAACAGACATGAAAAAAACCTGCCAAAGTACTCAAAATCACCTCTGTGGTAGTTCCCTCTACAGTAGGTGTCTCCAGGACCACACATACACACAGACTCACAAGGTGAAAACAATACCAACCACATGCTGTTGCTGGGGGTAAATATCCTTTTCTGGTGGGAATCAAATCAGTGGAGGATGCAGAGATCAACATGTCTTTTCCCCATTTTAAGAAACCAGCCCCATTTGTGGAAAGCATACAAAAAACAGAGACATGTGGATCCTGTGGATCCCACCAAACAGCCACCTTCATCTGGTAAACTCATACAATGTGGAGTAAAGACATTTCGGTGGAAACAGCCAACACGTGTACACACGAAGCAATGACTTAACTCTATATCCATCTCCTTAATAAAATTGTTTCCTTATAGGGAAGATGAAACCACAAATTTACAATGTGGATTTACCAGAATACACACATCAGCACACTAACACACTTTTCATATTTGTGGCCAACACTTGGGCCCTTTTGATCAACATCATGGGTGACTAAGCTAATGGCCACCTTCCATGTGTATACACAAAACTGAGAGAAGGAGAGAGAAAATTAATGTTTGCACATGTGTGTGTGTGTGTGTGTGTGTGTGTGTGTGCGTTGTTGCTTCTGGGTCAGTGTGGTCAGGGTGAAGACAACCACAGAGAGCATGCTCTGTTCTCTCTGTCATGGTCCATTGCAGTCAACAACAGACACTGCCACTGCACGCAGCCTGTCTGTGTGTGTGTGTGTGTGTGTGTGAGTGTGAAGTGAATCAAAAAGATAAGGAACTGTGAGTGAGTGAGTGAGTGAGTGAGTGAGTGAGTGAGTGAGTGAGTGAGTGAGTGAGTGAGTGAGTGAGTATATTTGTGTCTGTTGGCTACTTTGCTTCTGTATGTTCCTACTTACGGCAGCAGTTAAATGTTTTGATGGAACAGTCATTATTAATGTATTCAGACACTGTAAAAAGACCTAGGACATTTACCTTTTCCCTGTCCTTGTGACCAAAGCACATTAACATAACGGCCCTGACATATTTACATTTTAAAAAGGTTCTATTTATGCCCAGCTGATACCTGTAATTGCACTTACATGTAAACAAACAGATGTTTTCATGCAGATAGACACACACTCACACACATCCACAATTGCCCACATGTAAATGCTGGATATCATCACAATAGAGTGTGATACTAATGTGTCTTTAAGTGTTCCCTCTACCGTATTTTTTCACAGCTCTATTAAAGATCAGGGCCAGTAAGAGCTGCAGCTGAGAGCTGAAGTTGCCTCTCACTGGCAATCTCCAATATACACTAACTTCAGATTTTTAACTGTTTAATTTCATTATTCTGCAAGGTTGTGCCTGGGCAGCAAAAAGACTGACAATCACTGCTCTCTTATATTGATTTAATCTGCAACATGTATTTCTCCCTGGAAAGGGACCACAGGGTCTGAGCATTTGCAGTTTGGAGAAACCTATTCCCACAACTTCCTGTAGTATAATGAAAACACAGCAGTACTCCTATTATCTGGGGAACCAACGTAAATAGACCTGGAACATATGTGAGATCACTCTTTGATCAGAAGCAAAGACTAGAGCACTAAATGTTTATTTATCCATCCATTTATTATCAATCCTTCAACCTGTTCATAAACCCATCTCAAAATGTGGACTAGCCTATGTAAATTCAAACAAGATGTGACTGTGGGCTACTGGAGTTTCCTCTGTGAAGTTGAGTAAGGGGCACAATCTATGCTTGGCTGCAAAAGACTGAGAAACCTGTCAGTCAAGCAAGCAATACCCCAAAACATTCTTCTCTTTAATCCTTAATATCTCAACAATGGTGAAATCAAAACTAAAATATGCATTAGATGTGAATCAGGCAATATTTTTATATCAACATTGAGTCAAATGGCTCACAGTAACGTATACTGATTGCTAGTACTGCGGTTAACACTGAGAATCAAAACCATATTTTACACTTTCAGCTCTTGCTTTGGTTACCTGGACTGACAAAACTAAAACAGTGCCACCTCATATTGAACCGTGGGCAACTTATCACAGCTGACTCTGGTTTATAATGAGCCACATGCCCAGTATGAAATTGCAGACAGCACAAATTTACAACTGATTGGCGTAGAACATTAAGGAGGCCAGCAAGGCGATTACAGTGAGATGCTCATGTTGCTGTTTGTGTTATAATGTGTAAGTAAGCTTAATAACACTTTACTATGTAGCTGCTTTAAGATTATGGTATGATTTGTTCATCCAAAGTTTACGTCCTATCTCAAATGGCAATTCTGTTTTGTCTACATCTTGAACATCTGTCTATCTGTCTACTTCCCGGTATATTTTATTGTTGAGCACCTACATAGCTGGGGCCACATTACAGGAGATGCAATCAAATTTCAACTATGCAATAGCAAATGCCCTAATCACATGCCATCTATCACAACTGCGCTCAGTTTTAATAGCTACTTTATTACATTACAGCCTGTAATACAACTGAGACACAGATAGAACCGAGACACACAAACACAGAAACAGGCTCATTCGTCACACTCCTCACATCATTACATATACACAGACATGGCATGGGCATCTCTCTGTCTCTTTTCCTCACAACAACATACTTATTATATAATCTGCCAGATGATTCAGGCTATCAGAGGTGAAGGATGAAAAGGAGTTTTTTTTTTTGTCTTTTCATAGAAGGCACAGCACACATCATATCATAATATGAGACATCGTCTGGGATTTTGAAGAATCATACTGTGTGGGAATAGTTTGAATGTTGCCTTTTCCCATGGCTGTGTTTCTCTGAACTCTGGAGACAGCTTCAGCCTCTGGCTGTTTGGTCATCACAGTGACTGTTTACTACTGTGTATCATCTGAAGACCAACAGTCATTGATTTGGTCAATAATGCCCACTATTAATTGTACACAGCATGACAGACAAAATAGACTTCAACATTATCATTTTAACAGATTTAAGAAGAATGCTCCTCAACTTTTTGGGGAAAAAAACTAATTTAGTTAGGTTATAAGGTATAGGATATTCCCATAAATGTCACTATTTAGAAGCCTAACCGCTGGCTAAGTCCCTACTACTGAAGTAGTTGAGGTAAGATGCCTAAATGAATACAGCACTACAACTTTCTATAGGAATATTTAATGACATTTCTTGAAGGCACAGTCAAGCTCTTCAAGACCTGAGCTGGAGGCCTACCGTGGGTGAGGTCAGTCGCCTCAGGCTCTCTCCCAGCGAGTCCAGGTTCACCCGTCTCCTTCTGGTGACCCTCTTGTGGGGTCCACCGGGTCCTTGCTGCTCCTCGCCCGCCGGGCACGCCGACCTCTCGGCGAGGCTGCGGCCGTTCCAGAGCACCGCTCTGTGGGAGGAGGGGAAGGAAGAGAAGGGGCAGCCTCGGCTCTCCTCCGCCGGCTCCAAACCGCCGTCCCCTCCATCTCCCCCGGGGCTTTCGAGCCCGCAGTCCGAGCCCACCGAGCTGCTGAACGACTCGGAGGAGATCTTGCGCGACGACGAGGACATGGTGATGGTGAGGAAGAGGAGGAGGAGGATGGTGATGATGGCAGTGGTAGTGTTGAGGACGGTGATGGTGATGATGATGGTGATGATGATGATGCTACAGCCGGTTCCGTACCACGTCCACCTCTACGCCGGGGAGTCATCAGATTGTGAGGGGGGGTAAGAGGGTTGGTGGAGGGTTGGGTGGGTGAGGGGGGTAAGGTCTGTCTATATAATTATGTATGCATATGAGTTGTGTATATGTAAGTGCGCGTGAGATAATAGGTCTGTCTGTGTCTATGTGTGCATGAGATGCGTCCGTCTGCGTGTGAGACTCAGCAACCTATTCAGAGGGAGAAGGGGGGTCGACGAGAACTAGAGCACTAACGGCACGCAAACATTTATGTAAGGGGGAGGAGGTGGCGGGGGTATCGCCTCTTAAAAACCGTCCTCCTTTGCCCCTTAAACAAATCCAACCTGCTCCCTGGGAGGCCAAACACTCTCCAAGAGGATGCTTCAAATAAAAAAAATATAGGCTATCAAAACTATTTTGAAGCAGACGTTGTTTTAAGTGGCGAAATTGTAAAACAGAAAAATGACAAAGGTCGCCAAAATCGACAACATGTTGGTCCACCACGGTAATTCCGACACATGTTAATTATTCCTCTCGCACATTGTCAATGTTGGCATCCGACGAACGTGGCGTCTCCCCGTTTTCACTTCACTTCTGCCGGAGAGAAATCCCCAAAGTCACGGCAGATGTGTCAGCTTCTCTCTCCTCCGTCCCTTCTCCTCCTGCCTCTGTCCTCTGCGACAGCGGTTCTCCTGTCTGTCTGCCAACTAACGGTCCTCTCATCATTCGTCCATCTTTCACTTATATTCCCTCACCGCTGGCCCCTCGGCTTTAGACGTGTCGTCTCTTTTGGTAGTGGCGCGGTCGGAGCGTGCGTGCTGGGCGAAGAGGTGGCTCGAGATGGGGGAAGAGGGAGAGAAAGCGAGCGCGCGCGGTCAGCCAACAGCAGCACGCACCGCTGGTCTGAGGATGAGAACGGTCTGCCGAGCTCGCGCTGTTCTAGATAGATAGATAGATAGATAGATAGATAGATAGATAGATAGATAGATAGATAGATAGATAGATAGATAATGCATTAAGGGGCCCCTTTGCGAAAAAAATATTGGGCAATACATCAAGCCCTGTGCAACCTCAACTCCTGTATGAAGCAATTTACATATAATTGCTTTTGTAATGTAAATGATGATTGTAACATAACTTCTTCCAGGAGATCCACTGCACATGGCCAACTGTGTGCATCACTAGCTCATGTTAGAGTTGGAGAGCTGGAGTCCGCTAACATCAACAAATTACACAATACAAACTCTTCAAACACAAATAAATGTACATGCAAGTTATATTTTCCTTTGATGGTCTAAATGCTGTTAGTTCCTCTGCACTACTGAACCCCCCCCCCCCACCGCTGGCCGCCCAAAGTCTCACATTCACTGCATGTCAGCCATGTCTTGGGGAAACATCAAGTTTGTTTCAAAAAATCGATTAAATTAAATTATAGCAGTTTGGTTATATACAGTACCAGACAGAGGTTTGGACACACTTTAAAAGTGTAGGCAAGTGTAAGTTTGACATGTAGGCCTACTGGTATACAGCAGTAAATGACACTATATCCTACATAGTCTCATTTAGTGACATCTTGGCAGGCAACATACAGATGATTGTTCCTCAATTAACAAACTGGAAACACAACATCTGATAGTAATCAAATAACAGTCAGTTGTTGGCAATGTGCCAGATGTGTTCAACATGGGTATACAAGGACAAATATGGCTCCACAGGAAGATAATGGAGCTGGCAGCAGTGGTGCATGCTTGTTGCCTCCCATCAGAGAGCAGGATGATGCTCATGTCTGGCACTAATCACAGCCATGACCTTGACCTTGATTGGCAGAGCATGTCTGTTCATTAAGGCCCCCAAAGGGACAAGCAGAGAGACACTGAAACAGACTTGATGCATCATGCAAGTGCATGCATGTGCGCACACACACATACACCACAGTGCAATTTCCTGGAGGTGCCTACTAATTCATTTGACTTTCTGGAGCAGCATGACCCCAATACATTGCATAGAATTTTGTTCCCTCTCTCTCTCTCTCTCTCTCTCTCTCTCTATAACACACACCCACACACTCTCTCATTCTCTCACACATGCACTAACACATGCACTAACACACACTCTAACACAGTCTCCATCTCCCTTTCCTTATCTGGTCGCTTGCTCTTAACAATCACTCTGCCATCCATCGGTTATAATGTGGGCATTTAATAAAGCTAACCCTACAATGGAATAAATAATGTTCCAGAGAAGATAAGGCCACTAGCTGAGGGACTGCCCTGAGCTGGCAGCCTGCCAGCTACAGCTGAGTACAGACAGGGCAAAAGCTTAGCAACTGTGCTATCAGGGAATTTGAACAGATAGTGAGGGTATACCATCTGGTGTTATATTCAATACATACATCTAACATGGATGGCCTCAAATTTACATTATTATCTCAAATGAACATTATATTGGTGATGAAGTACACAATCCTACCCTTACCCTCAGTGATAAGGTAATGTGGTCACCCTTATAATTTTGCTTACATAACAAATAATATTTCCTAATTATGAGGGTCAAAAAGATACAAATGTCAATTCATTATTGGTCAAATTAAACTTTTCCCACAGAATCATCCTATGCACACATTTCCAACCTTTGTTTTCATAATATAGGCAGGCATCATGCTTTGACTGCTCTAAAAAATCAATGTGAATGTAAATATGCAATTACATGTGCTGAAGAGTTGAGGAATTTTCTCTTATTCTTGTTGGTTGTGAATATAGATTCACATCCAGCCAACATAAGACATTGTATGACACTACTTTACTTTAAGCCAGACACATTATTAATTTAGAATAAATTAATAAAGTATCAGGCAATGCAGTTTACAGTATTACAGTAAATAGGCCCATAAAAAGTAAGAAAATGAGAAGAGAAAGGAGGGAATGACTAGCATATTTTCCAGACAGATTTACACTGTCATTTCAGCCTAGAACACACACAGAAACACACAGGTATTTCAAAGAGATGCATGAAAAAAAGAGGGGAAAAACCATATATAGACAAAAACATCCAGAAACTCACTCTTACACATACACACACACACATAAACACACACACACACACACACTAAGGAGAGTTTACTCTGTCAAAATCTGAAATATGTGTAGGTGTGGAATGCAGGAAGATAAGAAGAGGTTCAGCCCCATGACACACCAGCGAGTCCAACGGGAAAGGTGTCTTTCCCAAGATATAAGCAGACAGTTGTGCAGACACACTGAGACATAAAACACAAATCTACATTTATCCCTGTGTCTGTCACACCACACACACAGACACACAATAAGAGCATTTCCTTGCTTTGTGCACTAGTCACTACAGTTTAGATCTTTTATTTCTCCTGTGTGTGTGTCAAGTGTTTTAGCAGGCATGTCAGCTTCAATTTTGTGACACAGAAGACATTTTATTATTGCCTCATCTTTCTGTCAGATATATGACCCCTGCTTGCTAATCATGCAGAATGACTGTGTAAAGTGTAAAACTGAACGTGAAAGAATTAAAAAAGAGAGGAAATCAGAGAATCTGAGGCAGAGAGTGCGAATGAATGAATGAAACAAAGCTACAGAGGACGAAACAGCATGGTGTGTATGTGTGTGTGTGTGTGTGTGTGCATGAGAAACAGAGACAGGGAAAGAGAAACGGCTGTCTCAGTCATAAATCTGCCCCCAGCCAATCTAATTGGCCATAACCATACATCACTCCACGCCACTCTGCTGCTATTAACCATGAACCCGGGCCTCTCTGTCAGTTGCGCAATATAAATAACCTACTGTCCTATCCCAGGGGATGGTTTCTACTGAACAAACAGGGTTAAAGAGTAGCTAATTGCATGTTGTGGTGTTACACTGAAAATGCATTACAGATTCAGCTGAATTTCCTGAAAATGATGACATTAGGATCTGTCCGTTTAATACACATTGTCATTGTGGGATGTGTTTTTTGGCAATTACATTATATTCAAGTGGCGGGCAATAGAGCTGACAAACTGAATTACTGCTGATTTACGATGGAATTGGCCCATTGATACACATTTGAACGATGCATAATCCACAGTGCAGAGACTGTCCAGCAGCAGAGACACTATTGTGGCTATGGCTTGCAGATCTTTGCAACAAAACAGGTCTTACCAAGTTGGTATTATAAGAATGATAAATAACAACAATGCACAGTACTTCCTCCTTGGGGAAATTAATTTTCTCCATGTCCCTGTGTCCTTGCTGACAGGGAGTTTACTTTTAGCAAACTCTAAAAATTCTTGTTTCAGTGTGACTTGAAATAATTGCAAGCTGAGGAGTGAGGTGATTTCAGGTAAAGTGTTTTTGGCAAATCACACTTCAGACCATAACATTTTGTCCAGTCCACATAAAGCGATGGGGTTTTTTTTCACTACAACAGTTCCTCCTCAACCTGCCTACAGTGAAATAAAATTGTAGAAATGAATTCCAAACAAGTTCTATCGACATAAACTGCACTCTCTTTTGTGGGAGTGTAACTTTCTGGTTGAGTGAGACAATTACTTTAACTTTAAAACTTATCATGCATGTGAGCAAACAATGCAAAAATATTTTTTCACATATCTCTGTCTAATAATAATTTTATCCATACTTATAGTGTTCAGTAGTCAAATACACTGCTACTGAAAAGCTAACCAGGAAACAACATAGTAGTTTAAATGCTTGACAGTCAACTGTAAAAAGTGATTAATTTCCTTCCATTAAATGCTGGAATATTGTCATTTGATTAAGAAATAATCAGAAAATAACTTCAAAACTTGTTTAAAAGGGTCTTGTCTTAATGATATATCTTTTTGTACATTTGATCAGTTTATCTAACACTGTTAGATGAAGTGACAGTGCTTCAAATCCGCTCAGAATATATACAGTGTTTTAGTATATTTGAAGATAATAATTGTAACTGGATTATTTTAAAATAAAATTTAGATTACTGTTTATTAATTGCTTCAATGCCAACCTTCATGATACCAAGAGCATTTTGTTGCAGCCTGTTCACCATTTGCTGGGTGAGGTGGTTTTAAATAGGGTGATGGATCTTTTTCCTACTATGACATTTAGAAATACTTACCCATTTATATTCAAATCACAAGAGACAGAAAGTAATTAAATTGTACTCATAGGGGGTTTAGAATGTACCACACGCGACGATTATAGACACAGATTATCCTACATTAACAATCTACCGACTACAGAATCTACCTATGGGATCTATTCCTATGACTCTCTCTCACAGTGTCTCCCTCAGGTTTCTGAAAAGAGGGATTGATTCATCAAGGAGAGAACTGTCTCTAATAACTGCAGAGCATGTAAGAGCGAGAAAATCCTCTTTTCCCCGTGTGACCACATATACAAACAGTGAAATAAAAACCAATTCAAATCTTCATTTTTTTTTTTTTGATTCACAAAGATTCACCACATGACGTCTGAGGTGAAACCTGGAAATAAGGTGGGTGTCTGAAGTGATGAGCTAATCAAAGAGCCAATAGCATAGATGAAAAAAAAAAGATGAGGTCACATGCCAGGGCAAGGTGGCTGATTACTCATGAGAGGAGTGTATGCGTGTCAGACTAGGTGTGAGGGCTGTGATGCTGCAACATGTTTGCTTGTGTGTACACTCGCCTGTGTGGCCTCTGACGACACTGAAACCTCTTAGAATTAAGTGACAGCTGCAAAGGATCACGAGGCCACAGAGGAAGAAATTAAATCCCTGGGCCAGAGAGCAGGGGAGGGCCGTTTTGGCAAGAGATGCTAGAAAAATAGGGTTTATGACACATAGATACCATGGCTCCAATTCAAGTCTTGGCTGAGAGAAACTTCATAGATGTTCCACTATCAACCAGCCCAGCTGTGCATGTGGCATAAAGTGATGCTGATTAATAAGTAGTGTGTTTTTTTGTTTTTTTGTTTGTTTTCTCTTGCTCCAAAAAAACAAAACAAACAACAAAAGACTCCTGTACCCATATACACAGCAGGCAGAACAACATAATGTGGTTTGACTATACCTATATGTTGTCAATTTCATGTTTGAGTATTTATTTCATTCAGAGTATAACCTAACCCCAGAGTAAAACCTGTTGTTTAGGGGATGTATCCAAGGGGAGATGCTATTTTTTCTTGTTTGCCAATGAGTGCTGACAGAGTTACATCTGCCTGTTACTGTAAAGTTCATCTGGCAAACAATGTTGACAAATTTATGCTTTGTGTTGCACTGTGACACTGAAACTGTAATTGTCAGGTTATCTACACTCAATCAACAGATCTGTTCCATTTATGGTTGAATGGAAATACTGTTGTTACTGTTTCCTTAGAGAAATATCTTTCTATCAGCACACAACTTCTATTAGACTACCGTTTGTGTTTGATATTTAAAACACAGATATTATGTGTTCATTTACACTGTCACCCACAGTAGATTTCTGAAAAATTATGATACATTTTGATGTAAACTATGAACATTTTAATACTGAAATGCCTTCAAAACAAACAAATTCCAATGTTTTTACTTTAAAATTTAGTATTAATACATGATGGGGGAATAAGATTTTGGTGTTGAGGCTTTTCATTGTGAAAAGTGATAAGAAACCATTTAACATACAAATAACAGCTAATACATGAATCAAATTTTTATTATTATTTTTTATTTATTATTTAAGTAAAAATGTTCTCACAATAACATCTTCTAAATTTTACATAAAAACTGAATTTGTAGGCGCAACAGTGTCATCACCAGACTGACCAAACGTGACTCCTGCACAGTGTGTGCATGTAAGTGAGTGTGTTGTCTTCCCTAGTGTGTGTCCAGCTAGCCCTCAGTCTTGGTACAGTCATACGGTTTCCACCATTTCGCGAACTGCAAGACTTTTTTCCTCTGATCGTCAAAGTTCTCTCTGATCAACTTCCTCCAACGTCGCGGCTCCAAGTCCATCATGCCACCGACCACTTCCTATGAGGTAAAGGAGGGATTGATCACATATTGCTGTAAAATTAGCTGGAATTTATTTGTTATTGTAGAAAAACATAATCAAATAAAGAATAGCCTTAGAAGTATAGCTCCTGTAGGTTGCAAGTACAACTTGGTTGTAAATTGTGACTATTCCAATGCTGCTACAGTGGAACATATAATTTATCAATAAAAATGTTCTTTAGTTTTTGTTGCACAATGTCATGTCTGCACTAAAGTGACTAAGCATGATATGGCAAACCTATGCATTGATTAAAATTACAGTGACATGGAAATCAGGCTCAGAGTCCAGTTGTAGCAGCAACCCACACATGCACAGTAAAGTTTCATGATTCTTGGAACCAAACGACAGTGACTTAAACAAGCTAAAAAAAAATAAAAACAGTATAATGATGCATGAGGTGCAACAGCCTTAATATACAAACTGACCTTGCCAAAGTAATGGGGGAACTTCTGTTCATTCTCAATGACATGAGCAAACCCTCCCTGGAGTCCAAAGTCTACAGCAAAGTATGGCAGACCTCGAGGAACCTAGGAGGGCGACAGCAAAAAATTAAAAACAATTAACAAGGACAAGAGAATACAAGAACAGAGAGGTGAGGAAAGACAGAAGAAAGGAAAGTCAAGACAGAGGGCAAGAAATAAAGAAAAAGTAAGAAAAACCAAAGAAAATTATAGAAAAGACTGGAGTTCAAGATAGAGTGATAAAAAGATAGACAAAGACAATGACAACATACAGCTCGGCGGATGTCTTTTGAAGAGAGGTCAACAATCTTCTTGTTCATGGCCCATTCCTCATCACACTCCATGATAGCTTTCTGGAGACACGCAGAAAACAGCTGTAGTACTACACTTGACATGATAAACTCAACTTATGCCTACAATACTCCTTCCTAGTGTATGACAGGACAAACTGTGCTTAATCAGAATGATGCGACAATACACGCACAGACCTTAAAGTATATGGGTGCCATATCGCCCAGCTCACGGGGCAATGGGATACACTCTAGGACCATGTGTTGTCTTCTGCGTGGGTTCATATGTGTTTCCATGAACACACAATCCAGCTCCTGGGATTCAAACATGCGCACCAAAGCACGCCGGAACAGCTGAGGACAGCAAAACAGCACAGAAGTGAACTCAGTTACATTTTAATCATTCTTGTTTGAAGGAAACACTGAAAATGAAAGCAGTATTTAGTTCTGATTTTATGTATCACCGCTGTAAAACAACAGTCAAAGGAGTTGTCACTTTAGCCTGGAGTGAAAGGACTTGGAGCACTGATTGGCTAACCTGCATTTCAGACCAGACATCCTCGTCCAGTCCGGTGGCAGAGCAGTGATGCTGGAGAGGACAAATGAGACAGTGGCCCTCTGTCATCGACACTCCCGCAGGCAGGCTCAGGTACACCTGGACACAAGCACAAACACATATCACCAGACGAAATTTAGAAATGCATATATTAATCTTTTTTTTGCTTGTTTTACTAACCAACAGTTCAAGAAAGTTTTTCAACATAGACCTACAACGATATGTCAATTAATTTATCTACTGATTGACAGAAAATGAATAATAAAAAATTTTAATAACAAATTGATGGTTTTGAATCATCTTTCAAGAAAAAAAAAGAAATCAAAATTATGTTTTGGTTTCCTTATTCTTTTATAATAGTAAACTGAATGTATTTGGGATTTGGACTGTTGGTCTGACAAAACAAGACACTGAAACACAGCACCTTTGGGAAATCATGGATCAGTTAAGCAACTAATCATTTCAGCACAAATTCCTTCGTACCGTCTCAAAACAGCCCACATTCATGATCCCTTACCTTGCTCCCTAATGCCACTACGAGATGCTTCTGGAGCTCTTGGCTGCTGAAGCAGTGCTGGCATTTCTCCATAGAGGCAGCCAGCCTCCTACTCTCCCCGATGGCTCTGTTCCTCATCCTCTCCTCCTCCCTCCCCTCACCCTCCCGCTGCGCTGCACTCGACACAAACATGTCATCCAGCGTGTAGTTGTCGCCGTCTGTCTTCCCCATCATCTGGAGAATCGAGTGGAGTAAAAGTGGTGGTGGTGAAGACGACGGGCACGACAGATGAGATGGAGAAGAGATGTGGAAGAGGAGATGTAGTGGAGAAGAGAGGAAGAGAGAGATTGTGAACAGTCTTGAACATGAGTGTGGTCATTATTGGCCAAATCATTATAGGACAAATCTATTCAACAAAAAATGATGAGAGAACATGCTAAAGTATAAATACTCACACTCTTTGCTAAAGTAAATTCATTTTGTGAAGTATTTATGTAAATTATAGACATGTTAAATGATAACATCACTTCTTAAAAGAGGAAACTAAGTAATGGTAATCTTTCAGAACTACTGTAGAGACGACTGTCCTTAGAAAGTGGCTGGTAGCCTCACTAATTATTGTATGTAGGTTCTAACGCAATATTACCCTCAGTGCCATTTCCACAGTATATTCTGTGTGTGTGTGTGTGTGTGTGTGTGTGTGTGTGTGTGTGTGTGTGTGTGTGTGTGTGTGTGTGTGTGTGTGTGATCTGTCTGAACTGCCTTGTATGCAAGTTGGTTGCGGCAGGATACCGAGTATCGACTCTGGTGTTTCTACGTCTGAGTCTTGTCACCATGGCGACTGGGCAACAGGTTGGAATCTGTGTGTATGTAAGAGAGCGAGAGGCAAGCATGGCTGAAGTGTGTGTGCATGACTCGCTGTGTAGGAGAGTGTGTGAGTGAGAGTGAAAATTGGATTAGTTTAGTGACAGTGTGGGAGGGAGTGTGTGTGGGTGTGTGTGTGTGTGTGCGTGTGTGTGTGTGTGTGGGTGTGTGTGTGTGTGTGCGCACACACACACACACACACACACACACACACACCCCATAACAGGTACTCTCACACACTTACATGCAGACTAATTAGACATAATACAGTAGTAATAAATTAACATCCATTCTGTCAGCTTTCAGGTTCACTGCTCATGTTTGTTTTTTTTTACATAGGTCTCAGCTAATGATAAATGGACACATTCCTGATGCAATTTAAATTATAGATTGTGAATACATCATGTAGCAGTTGAGTGGAAGAGATTAACATATGTCTGGCACACTAGTCATGTATTATTGAAAATGCACCGCATCAAATCTCCAGACAATGCTAGTCTGCTAATGTAACACACTTTGTATCTGACCAATGGATAAAAGGATTTGCTGTGTTCCCTGAAAACAAGGTGTAATCCTTCACTAAATTACAACAGTACAGAAACCTGCTGGTTCTTCACTCTGAGGGGAAACACTGAGATAAAGAGATGGTAAAGAAAAATCTATTTATAAAAATTCTCTATTTTGTGTCTCCACAATCAGCAGCCATTAGAGGCACACAGAGCTGCACGTTTCTGTTTCTGGATACACATTCATTATTGATAAATGTCAGTGGTTTTAGCTGCCAGAATAAAAGCAGAGAGCAACAAACTGGCAAAAGTACATGAACTTGTAAACCTGATTGTGTCAACCGGTGATGGTGTGTTTAGGTGATTAATTTCTGCAATATAAAATGAAACATTTGTTCTTCTTACTTCAGTGTCGGCTTTGTCTGAACATACCAACGTCAAATTGAAACTGCAGCCTTACATAGTGCACAGAGGAAACACCATTACAACCAATCTGGCTACTGTTATCATGAGATATGTACAAAAGAAAAAATAATGACGAGAGACCGGTCTCTGGACCAAGAAACTGTAGAGGAGAGGGTTGAAAGAAATTGAGAAAGGCACAATAGCAAAGTAAGAGGAGATGAGAAGTAAAGACACAATATAAATGCAATATCATTAAGGATTAAAGAAGAAACAGAAGAAGGGACGGAGCAATGGAATAGAAACACAACAAATCTCAAGGCGATGTCAAAAGGAAGTGTGGAAGAAAGGACATAGTTTGGGATGTTTAAGTGGTGAGTGAAAGGGAGTAGGGATGTCACGAGAACTGATACTTTGGTACCAAGTTGGTGCCAAAGTTCTGAAAATGTGACATGGTCATTTTTCTATAATACTATAGGTACTGTAGATGTCATAGGTACTGGAGATGAGATTCTCCTGGGACTGACGAGGGCAGTATAATAACCCTACAAGCCTGACAGTCTGACATCAAACTCGAAGAGAAGAAGAAAGCAGGCACAGTGAATAATAACAACACATGAAATGACAGCAGCAAGTGCAGGTGCAGCAACAGGTTCACCGCGACTTAAGGAAATGTTATAGACAACCAAAGGCCAGTAAACAAAAGGTGCCACAGAGCTTTTCAAATGAAAGGAGGAAACACCACCAGTTTATCAAAGCACCTCAAAGATAGGCTCTTGGATCTGTACAGAGAATTCAAAGTGAGTGAGTTTTAGTTGTTAACTTTATATTAACAACATGTCATCAACATGTTCATGTCCTGAGATGTTATCGTTTGAGAATTGCGATAGCTGGCATCTGTTGTAGCACAACATTCACAAAGGCTGACGTTAGCTTGTTTAGACTAGCATAGTTAGCGACAAATTATAATATGAGCTGGATGCTCACATCATTAGTAGGCTACCATCATTACTGATCAGTCTGTCAAAATGTAACGCTGACGTTTTAAATGAATATTTTCACACCATGGGTCTGTCACCATCTTAGTCCATTTAAACTACTGCTTTCACACTGACTATATGGAGATGTGTGTATGTGTGTGGGTGTGCACGTACATGTCCACATGTGTTAGCACACTGTGTGTGATGGTATTGTGACATCCTCAAAAAGGGAGTGAGCTTAGATGCTGGAGAATTTAAAAAAAACAGAAAGAGAAAGACAGCAGGTGAAAGATGGATGAATGACATGGAAGAGGGGAAAGAGAGGAAGAAGGGAAAATGAACAGCCACTCTATGTAACTTAATGTGTCCATGATGATTACTGACAAAAAATATAAGAAAACCGAAAAGTGAACTAACATTTGATGTCATGAGTGCAAGACATCCAGCATTTATCTTATTAAAATAAACTTCAACAAGACACTGAGTTGAGCAAAAAGAATAGTAAATGTGTATTTAAGAAAACATGCAAAATGTCTAAATTAAAGATAAATTCCCACCAGACCGGGAGCTGAACTGTTGTCATTAAAATAAAAAATAAAAAATATCCCCCAGAGAGCATGAACATGTTTGGCAACTCTAACAGCAATCAGGATATTAATTTAAGAGATAGGTTGTATGCTCATGTAGTGTCATCCTTTGAGGAGTATTAATCTGTTCAGTGAGGATCCTGACCATCTGCTCTATAAACAGTATATATATATTTATATATTTTTTTTCTATTTCAAGATTAATTTCATGGTACTCTGGTCAGCAGCTGGTCAGTAGCTGTGGAGATATCTTGCTCTGGACCAAACACATGGTCGAACAGTTACACTGACATCTGGGCAGCTTGACATCACCATATTTTAGCCCTATTGCTTGCATTACAAAAACCCAAATTTACAAATCAAGCACTTCCAAAAATGGTCAACATTGTAATCATATTATTCCTTTTCAAATGTCTGATCAATAATTGTTAACCATTTTATTTTGTTACATGATACAGAACAGATGGAAGAAGAGAAAAGAAGTAGAGAAGAAAGATTAATAAAAGAGAATAAAATGGACATACACATAAAAGTATTAAAGAGATAATTATAGAAGGAGCAAAAGAAATAGGGAGGAACGGCCAAATAGAGTAGTGTAGTGTGATGCAGAGATGAGAGGGAGCTGCTGGGACAAAATACAGTTTTCTCTCTCTCTCTTGCAGATTATAAATCTATAGCTGTGATTAGAAGGGATATTTATAGATGCCCTGCCATGGTAACTGTAGATGTATTTTTAGTGTCACTCTTTGCAGGTGCAGAACGTGTGTGCGTGTTTTTATATACACATGCAAGTGTAATGAATTTATGAGTGAGGGCCAGTGATTGTTTGTTTGTGTGTTTGTGTGTGTGTGTGTGTGTGTGTGTGTGTGTGTGTGTGTGTGTGTGTGTGTGTGGGAAAGTGAGTGAGTGAAAGTCAGAAAAGGAAAAAAACATGGACTGAGCTAAAGCATTTGTCTTTTTTTAATCGTCATGGAAACTCCTCTATCCTTTTGTTGTTCATTAATGCTTCCTTTTCATATTTTCGCACGCTCGCACGCACGCACGCACGCACGAACGCACGCAGTGTCACGCACGCACGCACGCACGCACACACACACACACGCACACACACACACACACACACACACCTGTCAACAAGTGGAAAAGAGAAGACGGAAGAAGGAAAATGTCTCTCGGCTCATGGAAATGTGCAGTCACATGAACCACAACCTGCCAGTACACATCTGCTGCTGTATGTCTGTTTCAAGCACACAACGGAGGAGAGAGTCACAGAGACAGACGAGTACATGCAAAAGTAGTAGTGGAGAGAAATGGACAACAGCACAGAGCCAAATGCCTACCTAACATCTGTCCTTTCCCTCTACCTAAGGGTAAGTATGACAGTGATCTTTGTCATCAACACACATCCATATTGCTCCTTTGCCTTGCCATACGTTTATGTCAACCTTCATCTACTCGCTCATATTACTATGAGTATTGGTGAAGCAATATAATTTGGATATCTGCTGGGCGTCAGTCCCACCATCCAGCTATCAGAACCCATCCCTACCTACAGGCAGTAATTATTAGAGACGTTTATGCGGCTATTTTTGTTTTTTTACTGTTAATTTGGTTGTTTCATAAATTAACTTATCATCAATATTAACTGCCAATAAAAAAACACCAATATGTGAATGGCTGTGTATATGTGGAACAAGGAGAAAGTTCTCAAATGACTCAGACCTACTGCTCTTATTCTTAAAAAAGAACCAGTACGTCTTAATCTATTGTCTACCATCAATAAAATGCTCTTGTTGCTCTCTCAAGAAGTGTTAACATATCTGTATACAGATGTGTATAGACAAACAAGTGAAGGAAAAAAAAAAAAAAAAGTTTCTGCACATAGTCAAGGGACCGTAAGCTTTGACAGTGTCCTGCAACTTGTTTTGTTTTTTTAGGCTTTTGAAATCAATTATAGAAACTGTTTAAAATTTGCATGTTCATACTAGATCTGAAATCAGCAGCAGCTCTAAAATCTGCTGAATTGGTATTTCTCATGGTCTACAGTCAATAACTTTATTATGGGTCACACTCTTCATTCTGGTAATAATTATCGGTATCCAAAGTTGTTGTCCATGTTGCCAAGTTGTGCTCAGCACTGCCAACTGGTAAAACTATAGCTCTCTTACCTTGGCAGCCATGCGAGAATAGAGGGCATTCTGATCCTGTGCAGAGCTCATCTTCTCCCTCCTCACCATTTCCTGCAGACCAACATTGTCATCATCTTGGAAATAGCGCACACGCTGCCCCTCAACATGGGTCTCAATCTGAAAAGAAAGGCAAAGAGGCATGGAGAGGTAAGGTGAAGAAAACACTCTGGAAATTGGAAGTGAAAAAAGGATGCTATTAAAATCAATTGAAAAGGAGGGATGAGAAAATGTGAGACAAAGGACAGAGGAGAGTTGAGAGGGAGAAGAGGATGAGTGTATGAAGGGTGGAAACCGACTGGTAAGATAAACTCAGACAGAAACGGACAGATCATAGAGAGAGAGAGAGAGACTGACCATGAGGGAGACAGGGGGCAAGACAGACAGTGAAGGAGACGAGGCCACTCACTGCATTTATAATAACCACAAACAGAGAATGGACTGGAGAGCTTTGTTTACATTACAAATGTTTCAACTCAGAGTCAGGTAGAGTCCCTGCTCTCATTACACACTCTGATGAATACCAAATGACAAGGAACAAATAGCAGGACACAAACATCTCATTTGCTCATTTGCTCCTCAATATCTCCATCTGATAATTGCAGTAGTGTGCAGGCTCCTCTCTGTCTCCCTAAGTGGTGGCTTTCTGATGCAGTTCAGGATTTTTTTTTTTCCATGCGCGCAGCAGTAGATTTTAATATTTTATTGCTCTGAAGAAAACTTCCCTCCCTGCTATCCTGTAATTTTATTCCTCCTGCTTTCATACCACCCCCCATCCCTTTCTCTTTACCTGTTTCTTTTTCCGTCGTCCTCCATGGGGCTCCTGAGGTCCAGAGGAGGCCTTGACTGGCCAGGCCCGACCTGAGTGATCTGTTCTAAACAGCAGGACCTCCTGGTCTTCAGTGGAGCGACCCGGGACCTGGCAAACCAAAACACAGCCAGGTCATTATCATTTTTATTTGTTTTTGTATGTCATTCCCAGAAGTTTGAAACATTCTTTTGAGTCTCTGATGCATCAAACCTCAGGATGAAACCACAAAATGAATGCCAGAAATAGTCAACTGCCTCAAACAAATGTCACATCAGACATGCAGCATTTTACTACCAAGCACAGAATTCCATCATGAAGGTTCAATCAAAACAAACATTTCACCTGCAATTAATTTACAAAGTCTAAAACACATAAAGCAGAGTTTTTAATTAGTCTTGTAACATACTATCAATTGAACTATCTTGTCAGTCGCAGGATGGACTGCATCCATGATTGTGAATTTAACAATAAGCATTTGCCAAGGCTTTAGATCACGCCTGCTCCCAGATGTGTGTCAGGGAGCGGGAGGGGAAAACACAGGCTGCCATCTATCTTGATGCAGTCCAGCCTCGATATACAATATTATTGTATATCTTATATTCGATATTATTGAATATCAGCCCCAGCTCATTCCAAAGAATGTCATTAGTTTTGAGAAGGCTGGGTTTGTTCTGTCATTATCAAACTACTCAATTTTCTAAATAAATGTATACTTCCTGTGTATGATCACCTAGTTGGATTATAAATAACAGAGTAGTGCGTTTTTTTTTTTTTAAGGGAACCTTTGAATAAAGGATTATACTGGGATTAAGGTAGGAAAAACAGGAGACCTGCCTTCTGTTCCAAACCTCCAGCAGCACAATATTCTGATAAAACTGCTCCTTTAGTGACAATTTAGTGCTCAACACAAGTCTGTGTTTTTCAAAGATCAAAAAGTTTGCTTGCTATGAGGAGCTTGAATCTGAGTCACAAATGTAAAAAAGGACACTTTATCTCATGATTTTATGTAACACTCAATTAAATACTTTGTTGGGAGATTGACCACATTCAGGAAAAAATAGTCTTATGTAACCACAGCCAGTGTCTTATTAGAGAGCCTATAAAAGACTGGACATCGACAGAAACAAGAATGAGGTGGGAGTAGCAGTCAAAGGAAATTGAAACAGACAGTAAGACAGGTTGTCGGAAAAACTATGATAGAAGAGAATATTTCCTTTGCTCCAGACGGTACAGTTAGGCTTCTCAAGGCTCCACATGCAGTGAAAACACAAAATATGAGCTAGAGAGGCAACAAGAGTCAAAACACTGAGTGGTGAAGATAAGCCAAAAGTCTTCCATAACAAGATAGACTGGAAGGTTCTCGAATGAGTACAAATCAACGGCACTCCATCTTTAAGAGGGCTGAAGTACCTCTCAGTTGATAAGTGCACTAAAACCTAAGAATTATGACATTTTCTCTGAAACCTTACAGAGGATTTCACCCTAGTCTTTTAATTTGAACAGGGCAGCCTTACTGGGTATGAATCTGGCCTAACTTACAAATGATAATATACAGATTTTAAAAATAATCACTGCTGTGTACAATGCCAGTGAGAGGGGATAAAGCAGGACTGAGGTGTCAGGGCACAGCCATTGCTCTCTGTTGATTGCCTATACTACAAACGCTTACAGGATGGTACATATACGCTCTCTGCCTCCTTCTCCCTCTGTTGCGTGCTTTTACAAATACACACACATTAACACAGGGCACACTCTGAACGACCTCTGGTAGGAGAGTGTCGTCAGCACTAAAAGACATTTGTTCCCATTAGGGTCTGCTAAAATGCAGAACAGGAGCCGTTTCCACATAGAGAGCAAGACGTAAGAGCCATGCAGCAAGGAGACTTCAAACAAACAAATTCCTCTTAAAAGCAGTCAGATGTGACAGCAGAGAGTTTGTTTTCATCTGAAGACAAGTGTGTGTGAGGCGCTTTTCTTGCCTGCTGTATGGTGAGAGATGGTGAGTGTGCGCATATCTTTCTACGGTTTGTGGACAAATTTTGGTTTGAAACCATCGTTGTGAGGACATTTTGTCCAGTCTTCAAAACTTCAAAGGGTTGTCTGAGGGTTAAGACTTGGTTTTATATAGCCTCAAGTGTTTGGATTTGCATTTAGACTATAGGAGAGGAAAAAGAAAGAGCCAGCAGATAAATCTGACACAGGAAGATTCAGAGAGTGTGTGCGAGTGTGTGTCAAGGAAAGGGTAGATACACATATCTATCTATTCCTGTGTGTGCATGTGTTTATATCTGTGTATGTTTTGAGAGTTTATTCATATATCCAATTCAGGATGTCGTGTCTGTGAATTTATGAAATTATACATCTGAAAATTTGCAGTGTGCCTGATGCACACAGTGAAGTGTTACACTGAGAGAAGTGTCTCTAATATTTGGTCTCTCCTCCTGGACACAAGTCACATTAGTTAGACAACGACAATATATAGATAGTATCTACAGACCTGGTTTGAATTAGCTGCTTCTTGTAGCTTTTTTCTGGCAGCGAAGTTCTCTTTGGCTTTCCGTGCTGCGTCCAGCTGTGATCTCAGCTTCTCAACCAAGGCCTGCAACACGCACACACACATTTATTATATATATGTATTGCACATATTTGCCTTTAAAAAAGTCTGCACAGTCAGTACAGTTTTTTCGGTGACACCCAGTGTGTTTACACAGTGTTAAAGGAAATATAAAAATGAAGATTCTTGGCATATTTAAGCATATACAAGCAGATTAAAGTGAATTAACAATTGATACTGGATTATCATATTAATATCATATGGGTATAAATATTGGCAGATACTGTATGTAAACAGAAGTGACAGTATGTAGATTATATATAGGCTGCATTTTAATATACAGCTGACTATTTTTCCTAATTAAAGTTTAGAATATTTTTTCTGTGTGTTGTGTTTTTCAGCACTCGTCAGATGGCTGAACACGGTAAAACAGAAAAAACACAGAAGTCAGAGAAAAAACATCTGTCTCTAGCACACATACACACACAGAACCTCTTACGCCATACTGCCATGAGAAATACTGATACCTTTATGTACAGGGCATAAAAGTGCACGACAGTTAAAGGCACTTAACGCGCACTAATACATACTAACACACACACACACACACAAGAGGTTTGGGAATATTGGTTTGATTGCTTTATCGTGTAGGGAGATGCTGGCTGTCAGGCTGATAACACTTAGGATTATAGGTGTGACCGTGTGTCTATCTGTGTGTGCGTCAGTGTGTGCACGTCAGTGTGTGCGCAAGTGTGCCTGAGTTTTGAAAGACAGCCTTTTAACATTGTCTATAAGAGTTCCCAATACCACTCTTAGCATTGACACAAGAAGAAAGAGGGGGGAGTTAAGTGCACAGATCAATGAATGCTTTAAATTAATGGATCCCCTGATGTGCTCTTAAATCTATCCAAAGGAGGAAGGATGTGTGCTGAGAAAAATCAAATCAGGTGCCTGTTCACCCATAAAGCTAAAGCTAGTTTAATGCAGGTCCACCCTTAAAAAAGAATTAAATATAAAAAGTGATTGAAAGACATTTATTTTATTGCCTGTGTGTGTGTGTGTATATATATATATATCACAGTCTGTAAAAGCTGAATAAACACTTGTAATTGTCACACTTGTCTTATTATGTTTTATTTATGAACTGTAAATTTCCTCTGTGTTTACTTTAGTATCTTTGCAGCTTGTATCCAACCAGCCAGTCAAAACTATCACACTCTAAAAGTAAATAAAAGTGATCAGTAAATGAAATATGAAAATAGCATACTGGCACAATACAAAACACTGTTTTTAGGGTTTTATGTTTGAAAAAGTTGTGGTGATATAAAAGTTTTTCTTCCAAAAACAGGTGCTGGGAAACTTATAATCAGCCAGAGTAATTTCCATTGGAAGTCAAGTGGACTGAAAGTAACATAATGATAGCCTACTCACTGTTTTGCCTCTGATCTCTGCCTTCACCAACTCGCTTCCCAGTCTGTTCATCTCCTCTTCTGACAGCAGAGGGACCTCCTCTTCCTCCTCCTCCTCCTCCTCTTCTTCTTCACTTTCACTCTCACTCCTAAGAAGAGAGTTTGAAGAGCAGAAACCAAGGAAAACCAAGGAAAACCAAGAAGGGAGAAAAGGAAATATAAAAATTAGAGGAGGAGAACATTTCCTAAATTTCAATCACAATATGCAACCAATTTTTGATATAAAAAATTCAATATCTTAACAAGAAAACCTTTAAAACACATCTGTCCAGTTGGTTCGGACATTTCACACCCACATTATAATAGCAGTGATACACCGATCCTGTTCTTCAGAACTTTCCCATAACTCACCTTCTGAACAACAGAATTCAATGACTTAATTAGCTGTAGTCATAAATCTTTTAAAAGGAAACTTATTTGGGAAGTTTTTTTTATTCTAACCATCTAGTTGTTTTCTTCTGATCTCTCGCAGTGTTTATCTGTTATGATTCATTTGAGTCTCTGTGCCTCCCAGAGATCATTACAGCTTTGCCTGGGAGGATCTGAACTGCAGCCTGGGAAGCATCGTTCTAGGCTATTACACTTCCCATAGCCTCATTTCCTTCTGCTGCCACACTGCAGACTCATTTCATGCTGCAGGGGTTCTGGGTGCTGGTTTACCCAAACAACTTAGCCTAATGAGGCAAACCACAGAACTAAGAAGGCTTTACAAAGCAGTAATACTCCAACATCTGGCCTACAATGCTGCTATATGCTGGATTGCCATGAAAACATGTAAGCTTATGATGCAATCACTTGGCTCAGTTTGACTTTCACAGACTTTTTGTGGCACTAAGTGTTGTTAATAAATAAATGAGACAGCATATTCATGTGTGTTCCAGATAGAGCATGGAGAAATGCATAATAACGGTAGCAATGGAAGAGATTAACATAAAAGAGGAATGATGAGAGAGATAGAAATTCAATTGTAAGAAAGGAAGACTAGGGGAGTATGGTGAAATCAGCAATGAGCTATGTTAACGGTACAGCTATTAAGTCAGAAATATGACAGATAATATCTGAGTTACAGGATCAGAGCTCAGATACTGAGGGGATTTCCTGGGACTATAAGGACGAATGTTCAAAAGCAGATAAGGACTTTAAGAGTTCTTGCAGGTCCTTTGAAAATAATGAAGTACATATGTGAAGACAGAGCCAGGTTTAATGGAGGGGATTACTGTGGGAACATCTCTGGTAAGGCTGTAATTTGAAAACATTAACATGATATCACATGCATGGATACTTTTATCCACTGTCTCTTAAAAGTCTCATGAGTGCCTGTAGTTTATGTTGGTGTGTGTGTGGGCCCCCATTACAAATAAAACTTGCAACCCAACATCTACACAGGCTGCATTAAGCCAACAGGTCATAAGCAGTATATCCATGTCCACACTGTTTTCAAGGCCCCAGACTTGAAATGCAAAAGAAGTAAGAGAGAATACACAACTGAATTATTAAAAACTTTACACTTCTTATTCAAACGATGTAATGAGATATGTACTCCCATTCAGTTAGCTGTGTATCAGACATACTGCAGAAATCCCGCTGTAACAGAGATGTACCAAAGTATATTGGGCTATGTGTAAATATAAATAGGAATGTTCACTTGTCAGTCTGTTAATTCTATCTTGTACTGAACTAAATGGAAAAACAAATATTTTGCCAGATGACACTGTGGCATGATTCTACCCTTTTAAATTAGTCTTGTTGGAACAGAGAAAAAGTATATGTATGTTTTAAACAAGCTATACTAGTGGTTATAACACAAATAACAACAATCATTAAACTGAATAAATTGTAATGTCCACCCAACACCACCAAAACACAAATAAAACTGGAATATTCAGACTATACAGCAACATTAAAGGTCACATACAGTAGCTAACCTTGTTTTTGAAACTAAGAAAATAAAAACTTTAAAACCTTGATGTCGTCACAGCAGCTTTGTCTCCACGTGGAGCATCTTGAGCAGCAGTTACAGTTTTCCCAAGATCCCTCTCTTGCTCCTGTTGTGGTTTTTCCAAGCTGTCAGATTCCTGGGCGGTATTGCTGCTCTTCATCCTGGTTGGAACACTGGTGTTATGTGGACCAGAGTCTTCATCATCAGAGCTGGGTTTCAGAAATCTTATGGAGGGCCGAGGTGGAGGGCGCTCTGCAGCTGCATAGCAAAAGCATTACATATCATGTTCTGGTTTCCAAAACTCGTGGGAATGTTAGACTATGTGTAACATATGACAAAATAAGCTTTGTTTCCTGATTTAAGATAGAAATTAAGCAGATGTGACCTATGTGTGATCTAATTAAAGGAAAAAGAGCACAATGTTTAACACACATGATCAAAATATGTTACTTAATGCAGCCTTTACTACTTAAATAAGATTTAAATGCTGCTCATTTCACTTGTGCAAAATTTGGCTCAGACATCTATTAGAAAAGGCTTTGACATCAACCCACCTTCACCACTGTCATCATCTTCTGAGGGTTTGAGGAAGCGGCCTTTTAGTGACCCAAGAGAGAGGGAATGTTGACTCCAACTTTCCCGAGATGATGATGATGATGATGATGATGATGATGATGCAGCACTGGGCCGATCTCTTTCTCTATTTCTTTCTCTATCTCCATCCCTCTCTCTGTCTCTGTCTCTGTCCCTCTCTCTGTCTCTTCTTCCATCCCTTTCCCTGTCTCCATCTCTTCCCCTGTTTCTTTCTCTGTCTCGATCCTTCTCTCTATACCTGTCTCCATCTCGACCTCTCTCCTCCCCTCCCCCTCGATGCCCTCCCCTCTCCTCTCCTCTTTCAGCATGGTATCTCTCTCTGTCTCGGGGTGATGAGTCTCTTTCTCTTTCATTTTTTCTCCACCGACCTCCATCTTCACCATCTCCCTCTTTTCTCCTCCATCTCTCACTGGTGTCATTCTCTCCTTTCCTCCAACCGCCTCTTGATGGGCCGTCTCCTTCTCTGTCTCCTCTCCTCTGTCCATACACAGCTTTTTCTGCTTCGGCAAGTCTCTCCTGAAATTCTTCCATCGACTATAAAAAAAGAAACACAACACGTATTAAAACACTTAAACCTTTTCTCAGGTTCTGCAGCTCAGATCTCTCTCAGATGTCCAAACAATGAACCGATAGCACTTCACTGGAGGTCCAGGGGAAAATGTACCGGCAATATGTGTAAAATCCAAGGCTAAAAGCAGTAACTGATGCAGTGGTCTGTAGATTGGATGTAGATTTTTTTCATAATTTCTATCCAATTACTGGAAATTACCATTATGCCATCTGAATGCTCCTACCTGATCACAAGTGATGCACCCAAAAAAAAAAAAAGAAAGAAAAAAAACACCAGAGGGACTCAAAAGCATACAACTACATATATGCCCTAAAGATTATACAGTGCTAAACAAATACCAAAAGACTCAAGAATATATTGTTAATGATAACGTACAATGACTTTATAAAGGGTGTCTCTGCTTTACTAGAAGACACAAATGAGGTGCACCGCTGCGATGGGCTGAGTGAAGGCACAAATGCTGACACTGTTGAAATTGACTTGACAAAGAGAATGCGCACTGTGTGTGTGTGTGTGTGTGTGTGTGTGTGTGTGTGTGTGTGTGTGTATGACTTATAACAAAACAAGGTACCAAGATGAACATACCTCACTCAGTAGTGCGAGTGTGGGGACGTGCATTTGTGTAAATCCTGTACCTTGAATTGTAAATCAGAGTAAGTCGGAATCAATAGTATTATATACAAATCTCATTTACAATAAACTGCATATTATGCAATGCCCTCATCTCCGCTGTGGCTTTTTTGTGTAACCGTATGTGCCTGCTAAATCATGCGTGTGAATGTGTGAGCCGCTGCCAGAGTTGCATCAGTTCTCACTCCGTATCTCTCAGCGACCACATCATTGAGGCTGCGCTGCTCCCTCTCTGCCTGCTCCTTCATCCTCTGGTAGCTCTTCCTCAGCCAGCTCAGACCTCCATCATTAACTACTGGGCCTGCAGGAACAGGGGGAGGAAAATGAATTAGAAAAACATGAATAAGAAAGAGGAAAGGCAGGAAGGTAGTGATAACAGAGAATTAAAGTTCTTAAATCCAAGGGAAATAAATATTTGAGCAGAGTTTGAACAAGTGTGAATAAATGCATTCAGTGAGTGTGACTGAACTGCTGATGAGCAAAGAGGGTAACGATGACGTAAAAGTTTGACTGCTGGAGGAATTCAAAAACAAAAAATAAGATACTCCTGACATGTTTGCCTCTTCTATTCAGTTTAGAAAAGCTATTCAATGTATAAAATATGAGTCTGTTTAGTTAAATCAAAAAATAATCTGTTCTACTGTCAAACACAGATGGCTTTTGAATTGCTTTGCTCTTGTTACACCACTTCAAGCTGCATATCACCTTTTTAAAAATTATCCTGGGGGCGACCACATGTCACTGGATCATTTATCAGCAAGTGTTTCCTTGACTTTTTTCTCTGAACAAAAAAAAAAAAAAAAAAAAGGTGTACCTCCTGCGACCCCATTATTATAACCCAAGATGAAGTAAATAACATTCCCATCTGGCACACAGTTTGAAGGAGAGAGTAAGCAAGTGTGTGTGTGTGTGTGTGTGTGTGTGTGTGTGTGTGTGTGTGTGTGTGTGTGTGTGTGTGTGTGAGCTTATTCTGCCTTGCTGTTAAAATAAATCTTACAGCAGAGAGAGAGAGCATGCCAACTCTAGAGGGAACTGTACTGACTGAGTCGAGATAAGAAACACATGTGTATGTGCATATACTTGCATTTGCATGTCAGCTTAACACAGCTTATTCTCTGTCTGTCTGTCTCTTTCTGTCTCCCTCTAGCTCTCTCTTTCTCTAAATCTCTAACACAGAAGCCCTTTGTGCTCTCTGTCCTCTCACTCTTCCGTCAAATGTCCATGACTACTTTTCTGCATATATAATTGTTATCAAATCATTAACTTGACCTTAACCTAACGTTTTAAGCATCTGCAATTTCATGACAGGTGAGTGACCTGAGGAAAACTGTGTGATACAGACAGTACGGCAACTAAATTAACCCTTTTTTTAATATATTTATTATACATGTACATTTTAAGCTTCTTTCTCTACAGCCACTATTTCAATCACCATTTCATTTACTTTATAGAAAAAAAATGAAGCCAGCATGAGCGAAGGAGAGGAGAAAATGAGGCAGACAAGGCCTGGAGTTGAGGGAAGGACAGGAAGTGAGAAAAAATTGGGAATGAGGTAATGATGAGGTATGAAGTGCTGTAAGTAAATGTGGGAGTGTAGCCGGAGGACCATTTCAATTCCACACTGTTTTTAACAAGATTTTCCTTTGATAGAGGTAGTAAGACAATGGTTAGGTAACAAAATGCGCAGTATTGCAGCTGCATTGTGGTCTACCGAGGCAACTTTCACTGGAGAAACACATTTCTCTGCTTCTTCTACAATGGATTTCTGCTTGTGCTTGAATGTTAGTGAAAATAACATTAATAATAAAAAAAAAAAAAATCTGGAGTGCAACAACCATGCCACGTTGAAACCAAAATTGTTTATGGTATATTTTACATAGCTGGAAAATGTCTTGATAGAGACTAGTGATCTCAAATGAGTATTACCTTTCTTTGCTGCAGTACTAGCCCTCTCCTCTGGGGGCAGACCACTTCCTCCGTCCTTCCAGTACGGGTTTAGCTCCAGTTTGTGTAAACCAGCCTGATGGAGCCACAAACAAACATACAATAACAAAACAGGGAACAAATGCTAAAAGAACCCAAGCAGAGGGGAACTGAACTTTAAAAAGTGGATAAAACAGACACACACCTGTTCAATGGCCTGAGCCTTTGCCCTCTCCTCCTCTTTCTGTCGTTCTTTCTCAGCCCTCCTCTCTGCCGTGGACGAGGTCTTCATTGCCAGGAAGTCAAAGCTCATCCACTCGTCTCTCTATAGGACAGACATAGACAGTGAGGGGAGTTAAACAAAGAAAAAGCAAGGCGTAAAGATTAAGAAAAGATAAATGACCATGGAACAGCAACTTAACAAGTAACAACTTTGCTCTCATACACACACACACTGCACACATGCGCAAAAGAAAAACAAATTCGCAAATTCATAGTGATGAAGAATGGCCCCACAAGTGAGGCCTCGTATACACCATTATTTCTTGACACCTACGCTCTATATTCAGATTGCTTTTTCTTCTCCATTGTGGAAAAGAGACATTACCATTGTCTTGAAGTTACTATTAAGAGGAAAAGAGAGGACTCTGTCAAAGATGGCAACTTTTACCTGGACATTCTGGGCTGGGCTGAGGTTGCTCTCTGAAGGCTTGGACTCATCAGAAACCTGCCAGGGTTTAGCAGCTTGTGTCTGAGGCTGTGCCTGAGCCTCAACCCATTCATCCTCTGAGCCCTGACACACACAGAGAGAGAGACGGAAAAGTGTAGAAAAGAGAAAAATAATGAAGAAGTGAAACAGTATGAGATTATTATGTTAAGACAAAAGGGTGGAAAATGAGTAAATGAATGAATGATTTAACTTTACAACTCACTGACAATGGCAGACTAATACCTACCTCTGAGCTGTCACTAGAGCCATCTCTTGCTTCAGCTGTCTTCTTCTCCTTCTTGGCCTTCTTCTTCTTCTCCTTTTTCTTTTTAGATTTCTTCTCTTTCTTCTTCTTCGTCTTCAAAGATCCCTCCTGCAGGGGGTTCAGATTCCATTAATTACATTTTTTTTCATTAATTGTGTCATTGTTTGTTACTAAGATATCTAGAACGTATTCACAATATATCCCGGAATAATCATTTGTCTCCTTTTTTCTGGCTAATCTGTCTCCATCACGGCAGACCATGTTGTGTTAAGTATAACTGACTACATCAGAAGACATCATAGTGTTAGATCAGCATTATCATCAAGGTCCTCCCCTTTCTCCTTTGGATAATTGTTTCAATATAAATCATAATGGCAGTGAATGTGTAAATAAATGTTTAATACAATTACACAATACGGTAATGAACATCAGTGATCGCACTTTAAAATTGTGGAACTACTGTATCAGTAGCACTGTCACCACAGTTTTGAGATATAGTACAGTCATCGTTGTTATTAGCTGCTAAATGCACTCTCTGTTGGTTTCTCTATATGCACAACTTTAAGTGAACAAAACGTTGCATCTTACGTACCTCTATCTGCTGCAGCCTCTGGTTGATCTCAGGGAGCATCCAGGTGTCCTCTCCTCTCTGCCTCTTCAGCTCCTTCCTCCTCTCTTCTCTGTCATACTGTTGCTTTGCCTGAATGACAGGACAGAAATAAAAGAGATAATTAGAATTTAAAAAAAAAAAAAAAATCAAAGTAAGGGTACACCAGATTCTGTGGTTTGAAATAAAAATCTTGATATAAAATTCAGATAAGAGTGTCTTCTGTTCAATGTATTTTTTTACATTTGTCTTTTTATTAAAAAAACATTTAGGTACATTATGAGCAATTTAAAACTAAAAGCGGAAAGGGAAAAATAATCAACAAAAATGTCCTCATTCATCTTTCATTTTTCCACTCATCTAAAGAAACCTCCTTCCCACTCTGAGCAGAGAAAACCGTCAGACAAAACATGTTTACAGCCATTTATACATTTATACCAGAGACAGGTTACATACCAACTACAATCTCCAATCAATACATTTGTTAATTAGAGCAAATACTTACAATCACATTATGGACAAGTCTTAGAAAAGAGAACAACAATTATAAAGGTAAAGAGGAAAGTAAAGAAATAAAATTGTGTTTTTAAAAAGAGCGGGGGGCTTAACTAAAAGACACAAAAAAATATATACATTTTAGGTGGATGGCAGAATTTGTTTTTTTTTTTTTTTAAAAAGAGGGTAATAAAGGCTATCATTTAGAAGAAATAGCCATCCAATGAGCCATCCAAAGAAATTAGATTTTTAACAATTTAATGAAAACGAAAATGAAAACAGCTGTTAAGGCTTGTTCACCTTTTTTTTTTAAAAGGAGATTTGAACAAATGTAGAATACTGAAAATAACAATGAACAAAAAAGAGCTTCCATTTTTCAGTTATGCACAGGTTGAAAATACAACACAGTCAAAAAATGACTATTATGACATTCATGGGCATGGCAGAAAGTCCACAGAGAGATTTTCTCCTCATCAAGAAAGTAATGACAGTCTTCACATTGCCATGATACTGCTGAGGAGAGTTATGACTTCCAAATATTTGCAGATTTATGTGCCTTTAGCTTCACATTTATGTGTTTTGGATGCAACTAGTGACACTAAAATCATTATGAGCCAATTGCTCTTCAAACACATGTAGAATAAATCAGACCCTGCTACACTCTTTGCTTTGGCCAGTTCAAGCACAGGTGAGCCGGACAGATAATGTCTTTACAGCCTTTATTGCTCATCTACGGGAGACATCGTGCGCTAGTCTGTGTACCTGGCAACAGTGCAAACAAAGCTGCACAGCAAAGGGATAACGCACAATTGGAAAACTGTGTGCATATGTGATAACAACAACGAAGCCTGTCCTAATCTTCATGGTGGGCACAGTGTATAGCTGCGACCATGACATAAAAGCTGTATAAACACTGGTGCAGGTCTCCTATCTGCCTCACTCAGTGTTTGTCCTATAACTCACTAGCTCCGGTTTAACCGTGTCCGCCAGTCCAGACACATATTGTCAGTCTAATGTGAACACGCACGGGTACTCTGAGCTTTCCGAGTCACATGAAGAGATGGAAAGCGACAAGAAGATAACAATTTATATCACTGATATCCGCGAAAATTTGCTCGGCTCATCCGCACCTAACGATAGCGTTCCCTGTTGTTAGCCTTCGTAGCTTGTTAGCTTTCATTCCGGCCGAGCAGTATTCACTTACACCATTAAACCAAAGCAATTTTTTTTAAATACTAAGATTATATAGAATTGTTGTTTCCCTTCCCCACAGTTCATACCTTTTCTAGCACCTCTTGTCGGGCCTGTCGTTTACTTTCCTTTCTTTTATCGATGCTGCTTGAACTCTCAAAACTCACTCCGTGCGCCGCCATGATACTGTCGTCAATGGTTTTGTTAAATGTCGCAAAGCACTGCCATTCACGCCAACCGTTGATTTGTGGTTTTTGTAGTCCAGAAAACGTATACAATTTGTGCAGGCTAGTCAAGTTCTGCTACGCCAAACCCAATATTTTTTCATTTGTTTTTGTGCACAGGGGCACTGACATATTGAAACATTAAACAAAAAAAGAAAATAATAAATAAATAAATAAATAAATAAATAAATAAAATAAAATTATATATATATATATAGATATATATATATATATATATATATACATATCCCATCTCTTGAAAAATAGCCCCAGACAAAAAGTAGAAAAAACATGAGGACAAGGTTATTCACATACTTTTGGTTTTTATAAACCCACACTTACTTCTCTGCAGTATTACATCTCACACTGGAATTATTTCCTTTTCAACACAGCACATCACTAATCCACAGGGAAAGAATTGTTACAAATTATTTCAGTATAAATGTCTCTTGACTCCTGTGAGTGAGCTCAAGGATTTAAATGTCTTGTAGCCTGTCAAATCAATGGGCTATACCTGGGGGAGGTACACCTTTAAATTGTAATTATCTGTCCAAATGTCAGGCACAAGTCTGCTGACAGACTCAACAACAACACATGCACATTAACACTACTCTCACGCATACGTTATTGTGCATGATACTACTAAAGAAATCTCTCGCTTTCTCTCTCACACATACACAAAGTCTGCCTCACCTTAATCAATAAACCACTGTCAATAAAAGCCACCAAACCATCTCCTGCCTCATCACCACAATGTGTTTGTTTATATGTGTGTGCAGGTCACAGAGGATTGAGGAGCCACAGGGGTAATTTACAAGGAGCTGGTGACCCATTACCAACCTGCCACAGAGGGACCACAACAAATTACTGTGCTCTGCTCCGCTGCCATCAATACTCCATTATCCCACATTTCATTCTGTCTCTACAGCCGTCTAGTAAAACTTGCAAATAGGATATAGTGTAGACATACTGTATGTGTGAGTGCAAGAGAGACAGAGTGATGAAGTCATAGTTCAGTATTACTACATTATATAAAATAACAAGCTAATACTGATTCTATTCAGTATTAGCTTATTCTTTAAATGCAGTATTCATTACTCATCAGTTGATCCAATTAAGTTCTTTTCAGTTTTATTTGATCCTAATTTAATTCAAAGAATCAATTCTGCCTCCACATTTTAAGTTGTGCGCAACATTTTCAATAAAATTGTACTTAGATTAGCAACTGTATGGTTCAAGGGCACTGAGCTGGCTAAAAATGATGTAAGTTGCAACAATGTTCAACTCTTTCTACTAAACAGCCCAAACAAATGACACTTTCGTGACCAGGACAGAGTGAAAAAAATGTTTTAAATGTGTTGCCAAATTGGCTCATTGCTAGTACTTGAGGGGACACTTCAGGTGCTCCAAAAGAGGACGTGTTTTGTCATTATCAATTGACATTATCAATCTGAACTCCTTATTCAGCAACAGCACTCACTACATGTCTGGCTAAAGGTAAAGTTATCTGCTTTTCGGCTGTTATACCCAAATTTTGGACGTTTATGCCTCATCTATTCATATATAAACAACTTTAACACTATCTATGATGCAGTACATTGATTTTATTAATCAATGTTCAAATACATGGTTTGAAAAATGACTCATGACTATGAGGTGCTACCTCTGTCACGAACATTTTTAAGAAAAAGAAAATGTATATTTTGCTTTTTGAATACAAGCAAATCCCCCACAGCCTGAAATGCCATGTTACACCTTGGCCCTTTAACTTGAAAAGGTCGAGCACACACTGCTACCAGCTTAATCACATCTCAGTGAATCCAGAGCAGACACTGAGGTCAAAGACAGTGCAAAAAGCAAAGCAGTGAAATAAAGATTATTACTGGTAGTCTTCTGTATAGTACATGGACACTGGCCTTTCATATACTATTGCATTACACAGGAGTAGTCAGAGTGTACTTATTAATTCTTTGTCTTCACCCCGAACACTACCTCTTGGTTTGATTTAGCCACATGAAATGGATTTTCTGCTTCAGGATTGAGGCAAAATCCTCTTCCCTGACATGTCCGACACATCTCTTTCCAAAGTAATATGTAGTAATATTTCAAAGAAATGCTACGATTTCCCAATGGTCTCATATTTGCTTGCTTTTAAACCTAAATATAAGAATATGTTGGTGGCCTTGTACAGTTCCAACTTCACCCATTGTCAAAAAATGATGCAAGAAGTACACAACAATGGCAGACATTTTAGAAACTCATTACATTTATTTTTGCAGCACTTTTCTGGTCATTCTTCTCTTCAGCATTTAAACAAATGAAAGACTTTTCAATTTACATTGCATCAATTGTCATAGTTCAATGCAGAATGTGTATCGTCTCTCAATATATATTTGTAGCAAAATGATCATAAATTATGTGCGTGTCAGTCAGTTCATCTCCCTCATTCTTTCTCTAATACAGCGCACCAGTTTCCCTGGTCGTGGTAGCTGCTCTGCACTTTGACTCCAGCCACCTGAACACACAGCTGCTCCAGCTCCCCCTGCTGGAACACGTGGTAATAACGGTGGAAGACAGGCACTGGACCGCTCTCAGACTCAGACTTTAGAATAGAGCTGGACTTCTTTATAGTGTCACCACTTGACTTGGGTTTAAAATCTGGCCCTTGAGTGGCATCACTGGTGTCAAGACCCGATCCAGAGGACATGCTGGAGTCAAAAACTGGGCTGGGGTCACGGTTACAGTCTAATCTGGTTTTGGAACTCACACTAGAGGGTGAAGAGGAGTTACCTGAAGTCTTTTTAGACTTCTCTTTCCTTTTGTCCTTCTTCCCACTCTCTCCTGATTCTTCACCCCCCTGTCTTTTTCCCTCCTTCAGATGCCAGGGAACCAAAAGGTCCTGGGTGTTGAAGGCTGTGCGGTTAGTGTGCACACTAAGTTTGCCATCAATCACTTTGCTAACATCTTGCACGCTGTCACCAGGCCTGTAGTTGTCTTCCAAATGTCTACTGGTATGCATTCTGGCTTTCCCATGAGGCTCTTGTATGCCGTCTGATGTGTCGTTGATGGGGCTGAGGTTCCCAGGATGCTCTTTGTTCTGTTCTTTGAGGTATTTCGACCTCTGCTTGTTGTACTCTTGTTCAAAAGCCCAAACGTAGATGAGCGCTCGACCTCCAGGCCTCAAAAGTCTCACCAGCTCCCTCACTGCTGCCAGCCGACGTTCCTACAACACACACACACAACAAAAAACACACACACACACACACACACACACACACACACACACACACACACACACACACACACACACACAAACAAAACTTGTTCAAATGTTTGTTCTACTGTACTTCAAGACAAATTTGACTGATGAAGGGGTAAAAGTGATGGTGGCTTGATTTGAAGCATATGTTTTCAAACAATGAGACTCTTCTGTGACTGTGGTGTAATACTGGAAAGGAGGCTGCAGAGATGGAAAGGGAGTCTCCTGAAAGACTAGATGTCTGTCTCCACAGTACAGTGAAAAAGATCTACAGAGTGTTTTGTTTTTTGTTAGTTTTAATTTCTCTCAGTCTCTCTCTTTTAGACTATCAGGGAAGTTATGTTTGTTGTGTTTGTCGTTGTGTCACATGTGTTTAAATATCCATCACAATGCTTTAATATCAGCATTAAAAAAGTCCTTATTGTTGCACTACAACTAATGTTTCAGTGTCACCAACCACCAATGAGTAACGTTTAGTCTCTGACTAGAGTAGATCCTTGAGAGCAAAAGCTTTTTAGTTAACACGAACCAAAAGTTGAAATGGAGCTTAAAATTCCTAAAATGATTCCACTGATGCATTGCGGTCATGTGTTGGGTGTTTATATGTAGGTCGGTCGAAAGTGATACAATGCTGATGGAGATGTCACCTGATGTTCTTTGTGTGTGCATGTACTGTACTGTACCTGTGTGGAAAAGTGGTGTATGACAGCTATGGAGATACAGGCGTCACAGGAGGCTGTTCGCAGAGGGACGCTGAGAGCATCAGATACAAACGCCTGGAAACCTCTCTCTGCACAGATTTGGACAAGAGCACTGCTACGATCACAGCCAACCTGAAGAGAGGAACACACACACACACACACACACACACACACACACACACACACACACACACACACACACACACACACATAAAAAATAAAATAAAAAAATCATTCACAAAAAGGAACAGTATTAACATGTACAAAGTCTGAACAAAACCACCGATCAAAGTCTTGTTCTCAGCTGAATTTACACATGCACTCCTCATTTATAATGTCAACCAATTAACAATGTACGACAAAATCACACAGAGCAGCAGAAAAGTATAGAGACAGAATGGGAAATAATAAACAAGGAATGAAATATGAGCAAAAAACATAAATAAAAGGAAGAGAAGAAAAGACTGAGGGTATTGGATGGCAGTTATAATAATTTTCAACACATTTTGTGTAAAGGAGAAATTCAATCAGGCTTCACGAGTCATATGGTCCATTCCCAAAAGAGACAGAGGTGATAAGCGATAGTGAGAAATACTACACACATTCACAAATAGACACACAGGCTAAATCTGTTACTGACTTGCAAACACAAAAAAGGTCAAGTCTCTTTCATTTCAATTAACACGGGGAAGGTTAACAGCGTTAATCTACAACAAGAAGGGAAGATGGAGAGGGTAAATATAGAGAAGACAAAAATAAAGTGCAGAGGGAATGAAATAAATTCAGGAGAGAAAAACGGATGGAGAAAACCCAGAAGACTCAGCTCTGAAAGTTTATGTGCGACCTGATCACAGTGTTCTCAGTAATGATTTATCACGGTTACGGTCTGAGTCAGGATAAGCTGCTTACACGCACATCCAAATCCCAAACATCCCGCACATCCCATGTGCATACGTAAACAGAAAATTTAGGATATTACCATGGAAACTGAGCTAATGCAAACAAGCAAAACCAGCAGAAATCAGAGTGAGAGGAGCACAGGGCTCAGCAGCAAGGATTATCATTCCTGGGTATATTATTTAGCTCATTAAAATGTTGAGACAGCTTTGCACTGTCTTTTTCACTCCAAACTAACTACTAACTGATTAAAGATATTTCCCTTCATGTGAACAATATGACTTGCTGTAGCACTAAAGCAGTACCCATATTACCATCCTGACTCACACGTGGGGAGTAAATAAGTAAGCAGCAGCATAATGATGCAAACCTTTGTCTTCTCCCTCACTTCACTCTGGGGCAAACAGAGGTCTGGCTTATGCAACACCCGTAACAGGGCACTGAGGATTTCAAACAGCTACTCCTTTTCATTTTACATTTAGGGCAATGCTGAGCACCGAAGGCTGTGACCTTTCCGGTGGCTTTTTCACTGCAACCGACTGTTGTTTGCTGGGAAATCGTTCCAGCAGGTAACCAACCCCTAAAACCATAAAATGTCATTTTTTTCCCTTTGGATAGAATCAGACTAGCTGTTTTCCCCTGTTTCCAGTCTTTACGCTAAGCTAGGCTAAACAAGTCCTGGCTCCATCTCAGTATTTAATCCACTGACCGCCTTTTCCAAGTAAAATTAAGAGGCTCATCACCATCAAACTGGTCTAAACCCTGAGAAGCCCCTACTTGTATCTGTGAAGTAGCAGCAGAGTTGTTTGACCTCAGACGATTCATTGTTTGCCGTCTTTGCTTCAACTGATTTGCTGACTGCGTATGTGACATCTGATGAGACACTTCTGCACATAAATGACTGTTATGAAAATGTGTGGTATTTCACAGCGATGATCATCTAAGACACAGTGGCAATAAAAATGTAATGAAAAAGGAAATTTCCCTACAGGGATCACTAAAGTATTGCAAAATTACAGACATTAATATAATATATAATGACACTCACTGCAATCAGCTCTGGGTTGACACCCAGGTATTTCCCATTTCCACAGCCCACATCAGCCAGCACGCTGCCAGGAGAGAGCGAGGACAGGAAGTGGCAGACACGAGGCCAGGGCGAGTGGCGTGTACTGCTGAAGTGGGAGGCGATGGCGTCGTACACCCGGTGCACATACTCCTCCTCCAGACGGGTTGCGTCGGCATGGCAACAGGGAATCGAGGGGGCAGATGGCGGAGAGGGCGAGGGTGCTGAGGCAGCTCCCTGACTGTCACAGGTAGAAGGAAAGGCTGGAGTGAGAGAGAGAAAGAGAGAGAGAGAGAGAGAGAGAGAGATGAAAGGAGAGGGTGGAATGGTGAGACAAAGGGTAGCACATACACACCCAAACACCCATTACATTCAACTGAAGCATGGCCACCTCAATTTTGACAAGCAGAAAATTGCTTTAAAATCGCATCACTTTTTTTTTTGCAGGAATTGGCAACTGGAATTGTCTTTCTGCTTAACTTTTATAATGTTAGTCAAACAAAAGAAGCAAATTGAAGACAATACTTTGGCTTCTGAGAAAATGTGAAAAGAACTGTTTGCAAATTGCAGATATTGGTTGTCTAGCATCACTCAAATAATGGTGGTAATGCAGTTTTCCGTTATCAAACACACAGAGTGTTTTACTTTGCACTCACCACAGCGGCAAAGTTCATGTCTGATCTTTCGGAAAGTGAAAGAGGTGCGGGTGCCCCTCTTGCTCAAGGTGAGATTTCTGTTAGGCCCAAGGTCAGAAGTTGTATGAGCAGGGGATTCTGGGTCGCAGGCTGGCACCACGTCGAACTTCCGGGGAGTTATCCTGAGAGAAGATAAGAGACGGTTATAGCAGTAGTTGACAATCAGACACAAACTGACAATAACTAATCTAAACAGCTGTTGTGTGTAATGTGAACACCAGCAGATGTGAATGAGACCAAACCCTGAACCTGACATTGGTTTTATGTTCACGTGAAGGGATTAAAATAAGGATCCACACACAGACTGACACAGGGAGGAAAGAAACTGTCACTGAATCAACCTTAAGTTCATATCAAGATAAATGGACCCATCTGACACAGTCCAGCTCACCCATGGGTCCAGAGGTATCTGCTCTCTCCCTTCATCACCAGGAGGCTGCGTCCTGGCAACACCACGGGAACAAGACGACCATCGGGATGCCGGAATTCCATCACCGTCTGTAATTAAACACAAAAAGCATGTACAAGCATTCAATAAGATTTTCAGACCATTCATATGAACACTGAGCAAGGTACTCTCTCACTCACACACAGACACACACAGACACACACACACACACGCACGCACACGCACACACACACACACACACACACACACACAGACACAGGATACAATTATCCATTTAAAACACAGCAGAAAAAGCTGGAAAACCATGGAGAGGCAAAGAATTTGTCATTTGTCTGACGCAGCAGTGGGGTTGCGCAGATTATCACAGATGCACTGATATGACTTTTCCTCTGCTAATACCAATTCTGTGATCTCAGTGCGGGGTCCTGATCCAAAACACCTCACTGTGTATAACTCTTTTGAATTTTTCTGTGAGGTAACATGAGGTCAGGGATTGCTGTGGCACTAAAACCGAGTCAGCAGCCTGCCGTGACTAAATGAATGCACTGTAACTGATAGAGCAAACACAGAATCACTCCGCTTGATAAGATATTAGCACCGATACCGACTCAGCAGATTGGATCTCTGCATCCATACTTAGTATTCTGTAGCTGCTTCAGCCATGTAACTGTTGGTAATGAGTGTCAACACTTTGATTCTTTAGTACCAATCAAATTGTGTCCATATTTCAAATACTGAAAAACAGTTAAGCATCGAATGCTTCATCAAATTCTCAGTCTTGTTTACTTAAACTCTCCAACAGGATATTGCCCGATTCTATTCAGTTTTGTTCATTTTCTTCTCTGTTTCATTTGAGCCATGTTGTTGTGCAGCTGTTTGAATTATGACAACATCGAAAAAGATTTTTCAGTGAAAAAAAAAATTATTTGGCAAGTTATGATCTTTTAGTACTGATAGTAAAACTCAGGCATCCAATTTACTTACTTCGACTTTCAATAATCCAGTAATAATGTGCCAAATTTAGTATTCATAGATAGTGGTCAGACAGAATTAATGTATGTTTGTGCTAAATTACTTATTGAACAGATACTGGTTCAACAGAAGCAAATGTTTTTTTTTTGTTTTTTTTTGTTTTTTTTTATGAAAACCAACCACTATTATATTCTAACACCACGAATGAATGAAATACAAAAAACATTTTCCAAACCTAAAACCTTTTTTCCTTTTACTTTACTCAACAGTTGAGTTGAATGATGTCACCCGGAGAAAACTCTCTACTTGCTCTCTGACTAACAACCAGCAGAGGCATCTCAGTGTTTGATCCTAATGTTTCCTTACAATGCATAACAGCATGAGCTCTGCTGGGAAATTACATCTACACAATTTTAAATTGCATCTCTCCAACTTCTGACAGCAGGAAAATTGGATTTTGTGAAGTAGAGGTCCCTGCGTCTGTCTGTGTGTGTGTGTGTGTGTGTGTGGGGTATAGAGTGGGAGAGACAGATATGTTTGTGTATTATTGTGAGAGAGCGATGCCCCAGCAACACCAGCAAGTGATCAGATTTTCCCTCAAACCACAACTGAAATCTCTCCCTGTCTCTCACACACACACACACACACACACACACACACACACACACACACACACAGGACTGTGCTTTTCTTAGGAGTATTAGCCAATCAATGACACCAGAGGAAAGTGACTAAATCAATGGTGACGCTGGCAGCTGCACTTAACTACAAGACTATCCATCAAACTCACACACACACACGCACGCACACACACACGCACGCACGCACAAACGCGCACACACACACACACACACACACACACGCCTGCGCTTTTCTTAGGAGTATTAGCCAATCAATGACACCAGAGGAAAGTGACTAAATCAATGGTGACGCTGGCAGCTGCACTTAACTACAAGACTATCCATCAAACTCACACACACACACGCACACACACACACAGTATAGACAGCCAAATTACGTCTTTTCTCTCTCCATCTTTCAAATGCAAACACGAACTGGCTCAATAAACCTGGTAAGTGCAGATATATGTTTCACATAACAAAAGGAAACCAGTTTGCATGAAGTTTACTTGTGTTTAATCAATGATGACTGAATGCGTAAACCAAGTTAAATCAGGTGACGGGCTGAAAGTGAGATTTTATGATGTCTGCAAGAATCAAAACTGAATCAAATCGCAGTTGGATTGACTTGTTATACACACAGATTACCAAAAAAAAAATTATTTTTAACTTCTTCGAGTAATGCTAAGTCCTGTCTTTTGCCTGTTTTATATAATTTTCCAAAAAGTCTATTAAATATCATTTATCATATTGTCACCATATTCAGAGAAAATTTCTTTTAGGGGCTGAAATATTTAATTCCTATCAATCGATATGTACTTGATCTCTCTGGGTTTTGGCTTGTAAACGCCTTTCTTCGCAATATTGATTTCACCTTTTCCCCTCAGCACCTGACACAACATTTTTGTGGCACAGCAGTTGTAGAACAAAGAATACACCTCATTCACTCTCACTGTCTGTCAACCTGGGTGCGTGGCAGATGTTGTGACAGATGATAGTTGATTGCTAATAGAGCCCCTCAATCTCAGACAAGCAGGGACAGATGGGTGTTCATCTCCAGCAGCCACCCTGCAGAGACTGAACCAGCGTCCCAGCGCCAGGTCACATCATTTTGTCCCACCTGGAACAGTCGAGGACTTAACGCAACTACTGTTTAAAGGAAAATCTGTCTCTCTTTTGTTCATTCATTGTTTGCAAAAAGTGTTTCAAGCAGGGAGACTGTGACACCACTAAAAAAAGAGAAGGGCACAGTGAGCAAGAGAGTGTGACAGTATATAAGTGTGTTAGAGAGAAATAATGTAGCAAGGAAGGTGACAAAATGTTCTCACTAAAATCACAAGGACACACACACAAACACGCGCACTCATTTGTGACAGCTGTACCCCCCTGAGATGGATGAATCACACTGGTCAGTGAAGTGACGATTAACTTGATTGATCAAAGCAGGAAACAGAAATGCATAAAAACAGAGAGGAGTGTCTGAAAACACTAACTTTACATTTAAATCTGTCTTTCAACCGCAATATTGTTGTTTTATGCTAAAATGTGAAAACTGATTTCTTTAGACCAACACTTTTTTTTTTTATCTTTAAATGAGCAACTTTCATCTTAATTATGGATAAATGCACCTTGAGCACTACTGATCAATACTGGTGACCCAAGCTGATTGATGAGTTCTAGGGTTGGGTAAATTAACCAACTCAACGGTCTGTGGAGTAGCTCGTGCTGCTTCAATCATTAAATGACTGGACTGAGTTCTTACCTTTGCCCCCAGGCTCAGTGAGAGGATGGTGTCCTCAAAGGCAGAGTGGGTGTCCACATGAGGAGGAATGCCTGAAAACATTATAAAAACACATGTAGAATGAAAATCACTCAACAAAAGCTCAAGTTTCTCTGAAATATAAAAGTGTTCGGGGTTCAGTGTTTTTGAAGGATGCCTCTGGACATCTTTGACCCTTTTGTGATGTGTGAAACTCAACTCATTCTGACATTTAATAATAAATTTAAGTGAATGTGCTTGAGTTTAAAAAACAAGCATTATTAATAGTAATTCCTTCCTTCCAAAACCTTATTCGAGCCTTTAAAGGCCAAGGCTGTAATTCTGTTATCAAACAACAAACAGGAGGCAAGGGCTTTGAAATTCCTCATGGATGCATGTTGCAAAGGTTTCTGCTGCCATCTTGTGGTAGAAATCATTGAACTCTACTTGTGTGCTCCTTCTAATTATGTAAGAAAAATCAACAGAGTTATCACAGCTTAGTAATTACGTCTGAAAGACTAATTACTACACTTTTAGTTTCACTAGCATCTGGAATAAATAAACTATCCTTCTTTTAATATGTGAGTGGTTAGGTTTGAATTATTCAAGGGTGTATGTAATTACATTTTTAATGTAAAATTGCATCTTTTTGTGTTTTGTTGTCATTTTCTCAACATGTGGTCAGTCATTTTCACATAGCCTTACTGATAACATGAGATCTAAATGTATCTAAATCATCTTCTGAGCTTGTATGTGTAAGGTCAATAGAAACATGACGGGAATCACTCACCCTGTCCAGACTCATACTGGTTGACAGTCAGTTGGTCGGGCATGATATTGATGTGACCGTTCCTTACACACCGCTCCAGAACAGGCAGACAGTCCTCAGGAAGACCTGGATATACACACGCAAACACAAACACAAACGCAAACACAAACACACATCAGGTCCTCCGTTACTTCTTCCTAACTTTCTTCTGTAACATTTTCTCTGTTATTATAATGAGAAGCAGTCATAACGTGCTGTCTAATGACACACTGCCTAGTAAGAGTTATAAGTAAAAATAGAAATGCAATCATGCATTTTCTATGCAAAAAAAAAGGAAAAAAAAGAAAGGAAAGCATGTAGTGTCCCAAAATCTCAGCTTTGCAATCAACTAGTAAAATGTTATCATTACTGATAGAAATAATGGCCAAACATATGAAAATATGACCCATAAAACTCAGAAGGTAAGAAAAAAATATCTTGATTAAAAGAAGAGCAAGATTACCTGCAGGTAATGGCTTGTCCTTATCCACATTGTTGTTGTCGTAGCGAAATTCAAAGCCAAAATGTTTGACTCTTCTATGCTTCAGAGCTTTTTGAGCTAAAATACATTAGAATGAAGTTAGCAAACCAGTAGAATCATTTTGTACATTAAAATGATGCAGACGTACAGATGGTTATTCATAATCCATTCAGACTGATGGTAGACAATGTTACATTCACAGTCATTTCTCAACATAACTGTGCATTCCTGATTTGAAAGATGCATCATTGCCTTGCAAACAAAAAAAAAAAAAAAAGTATTTTCCGATTCAGTTTTTCCCATTAGTGCCGCTCTATTCTGCCTGTTGTTTACACAGGTGTTAAGTTCAGTGCTAAAGATTAAGACTGACACAGGTCCTCACCAGTGACATCATCATTAGTCGACGACCAGTCTATAGCGGCAAGTAACAGAGCCTCTTCCTCTGGAGACACAAAATCTTCCACCAAGAGTAATCCCTCCGGCAAAGGAACAGAGTTCTCCTCCTCACAGGTTACTGTACACGACACACACACAACACATACAGTAAGGATCAGACGACTGGCTGCAAAAATATGCTTCTTGTAGGACACACAAGCACACAAACAGATAAAATGGCTGTCTTTGATCATCTTCCAACTTTCTGCTAAAATGTGAATTTAACATTAATGGGTTTTTTTTTTCAAGTATCATAGTAATGTGTGTACGGGTCAGTGTTTAAGGTAAGCACCTGAGTCAACATAACTGAGGTAGAGTGTGACACTGTTCTCTCCACATTGCAGCTTTTGTCCATTAAGGTGGACATGGGCTCTCTGAGCACTCTCCTCAGATCTGGAAAGAGAATGACAATAAAAACAAAACAAGGTTTAAACTACAGTTTTCCAGAGACGATAAACAAAAAAGTACTAAAGTTCTAAAAAAAAAGGTTCTTGGTGTGAATAAGTGCTGTCCATGCACCAACTGTACCTGTATGTGACAAAGGCGTAAGGCTTCTGAGGGGGCATTAACAGGGTCTCCACCTCCCCCATCTCTTTCAGCACTGTAGAAAGCTCCTCTCGACCAACCCCGTTCCCCAAGCCGCCATTAGCCACCACCAAACTCTGCAGAAGGCACAGAGGTAGACTGGCTGATTTTATACAGGCAAGAAGACAACGTCCAAAACAGACTGAACATGTGAAAACATCACTGTTTAAGATATTGATAATCAATACACATCTTAATGAACAGATAATGTTTTACAACTGCAACTATTACTCAATTTATCGACTGGTTGATCGACAGAAATGTGTTTGGCAGCTATTTTGATAAACAATCATTTTCTGTTTAGAAAAAATGCAAAACACTGGCTTTTGCTTTTCTTTGTTATACATGACAGTGAAATGATTATTTTTGGGTTCTGGACTGTTAGTCAGACAAAGCAAGACATGTAACTGGCGGATTAATCGATAATGAAAATAATCGTTAGTTTTAGCCCTGTGTTTTATGTTTTTGTTGTTATGCTTCAAAGTTTTGCTGGTTTCATTCCATGATCCCAAGGAACTGTTATTTCATTATAAGTTAATTAGTTATTAGTATATTCATTATTTATCAACTTTATTTTTCACAGATGAAGAGAAATAAAATTAACTTGTAACTAAGTCGTAATTATTTTTTATTATACTGACTGCCTACAGTCCAAGATACATGTGCAAACATTTTTCATTTATTTTTCAGTTCGATACAGATTTCACTTGCTATCTTCTTATGTCATCTATTTCCTGACTTCACATTTTTGAATATCTTCTTATACCTTTTAAGATTGGCATTGTCATTATATTCAACGTGTGCATGAATACAACACACCAAAGTAAATTCCTTGTTATGAGATGCCACTGTTTCAACACTGCAGGTTTGAAAAATGACCTCAAGTCGGCTACAAAGACTGATATTATTTTTCTTTCACATGACTGATATCTGCAGATACAAGCTAATGTTAAAACAATGCCTGGAAATAAGGCGGGTAAATCAACGCACCTTCAGTATTAAAACTCGCATTAAAGTCACATGCACTGATGATCGCCTTGGAATTTGCGTCTAAAAAGTGTATATTTAAAGAAGAAGAAGGTACGTGTAGCTAGCTCTCTTCCCTGTCTGACAGCTGATATACTTCCTGTTTATAAAGATGATTTTTGTTTACCTTGGTCGGCTGCGGTGCCGTGCTGATACCTTCATGTTTCAGTAAAGTGTGACTCGCTTTTAATTGTTTTCGGAGAACTTTCTTCTCCTCTTTACTCCTTCTGACGGCCTTCACGCTGTTTTCCACACTAGGATCCATAGTTCGTCATTTTATTTTGTCCGGGTGCAACAAACGTTTAAGACCGGCGAGTTCCCGCCCGGCCTTGCATTTGGTTTCACAGCATTCTGGTTACATTCACTATATACAATTTGCATATAACTAAGCAATCCTTTAAATTATTTTAATAACTTTTGTTTTGTTTATTTATAGAAAAATTCCAGTATCATAGTGAAAATAGTGAATTGTTCTTTTTCAGTGGATCCATGGGAGATGATTATCACTTGTGAAACTCAGATGGGTCCATAACATTGCTCTGTATTTGCTGTAGATGAGTGAATATGCAGAAACCATAGTGGACAAAAATTGATTAAATACAGCTGTAACAGAATGGGAGCTGAAACAACCACTTCTGAGGCATTTCTATATGAAACAGAATAACAAATGTTTAGCACGAATAAAAGGACAAACATCAGGATCAGGATTTCATGATAAAATTCAAATATAGGTAATCAAATGTGCATTATTAACATCACAAATCAAAAACCTAAGACAAATGAATTTTCAAGAAACATACTGAAAAAATGTATAGTTACAATGAGAGCTTGAGGAAAAAAAATCCTCACGCCCATATCTTCAAAAGAAAAAGATGAGTAGAGTTCACAGGATTCATGAAAATCTATGTACAGTCGGGCATTTGTGGTTTCATGACTGAATCTGTTCATCTTACACTTTACCTGCATGTCATTTTGCTTTTCTGACTAAATCCTACTCACCTATAGATAGTCTTGCTAATGTTTCTTCATCACTCCCACATTAATATGATTCATGACATTTTCCAGAGCAGATATTTTGTTTGGTCGTAGCAGGAAAAGCACACGTGGAACTAATAACATTAACAATGGATGTGATCCAACAATTAGTCCAGTGCAATGCAACAGTTACTGTGTTTGGAAGTGTCAAATGTCTAGTGTGAAGAAGGTCTGTTCAACTCTTGTACACTCCTTGGTCATGTGTTTCTCCTATAATGTGTTTGAGGACTAATACACTAATACAGGGAAATAAATCTTTGTCACTCAGCAGTGTGTCTCCGGTGACACGGGTAATCCAGCTAGTTCCTACTGTATTATATTCCTGCTAGGACATATTGTTATTTTGTGGTATGTATGTGTAGTATCACTCTTGCTCTTTTTATCTAAGTGCTTCCCCTCTCTTCTGTTCTCATATCCAAGCCTTACTGACGACTGGTGTTTTGCCCTGTGGCTCCATTATATAGGACCTAAACCTTGGTGCCTCCCTAATCTCCCAACAACAGACAGACAAAAATGCTCCAGGGAGAATTTTATAGGCCCCGTTAACTTGATGCTACAGGGTAAAGTCTATAGTGAAACTATTTGTCATTCCGTTTCCATCCATTTCATTCATCAGATTCAACTCAAATTTTGGAAACTGAAGATAATCTTGTACGAAAAAGTATTATCACAATGGGCTAGTTAGCTTACTTCTTTTATATCCTGTTCAACAAAACACACTAGGTCAGATGGAAATCAGATACAAGCACTCAGTCACATTCATGGCATGAGTGCTAAATTGTAATTGATGAATTATGTGTATTGTGTTGTTCTTGGTGCAGTGTCTGTCCTGGACGCTGTTCTCTGTCTGCTTCCGCCCTCAAAGGAGCCAATTAGCTCAGATCCTGTGTATGAATTCCTCTACAGCCAGATTAATGACTCTACAGCCCCTCTGGGTGTGAGCGTATGTTCCAGCATGCATTTGCACATCTTTTTAGGGGTTTGTGAGAATGAAGCATTTGTGTGTGTGGATCAGTGTGTGCCTGTGTGTGTGTGTGTGTGTGTGTGTGTGTGTGTGTGTGTGTGTGTGTGTGTGTGTGTGTGTGTGTGTGTGTGCATTTATACATGGGTGTGTTGTGTAATGAAGCCCTCACCTGTCCTCAGCCATCTCAGTAATCACAGTGCCAGGCCGAGCTGCTGGCCAGTGGGCACCCTTCGTCGTCTTAACAGCACGCTCAGTTTAGTCTACAACAAACAACAGCTGGTCAGGCAGGAGAGCACACGGCTGCCCTCTCCGACATGAAAACAACACTCTGCTCCATCTTGTTTTTAAATACAGTCTAATTAAATCTTCACTCTTTTTATGAGCTTTGGGTGACACACCAAAATGCCAGTCAGGTTCATTTGAGGGGGGATTAATCAGGGCCAGTATCAGAAAGAATAACATTCACAATATTTAATAGAACATTTTTATCCAGTGTACTTGTAAAAACTGTGTTAAAACTGAGTACAGGGGCAAAATGGGACGATCAAATAGGCAAGATTCAGTTCTACTCATATTTTCTTGTATTTTCTATCATCGTAAACCAATGACTGATATCACACAGTCTTCCTCAGCACATGGAGCAGTTTCTTGTGCTTAAACATTATTCAAAATTTGTATTTTTCCTGAGTGCTTTAAGCACTTCTGTGTCCATGTTGTCTGAAAAGATGAGATTTAAAGTTCATTTTTGACAATGGTGAGCAAACTATGTCACTACAAAGTCGATTTAGTGGATGATGAGTGATCCATCTACTAATCGAGATCATGTGACGTGATCAACAGCTGGACCTTGTAGTGAGATTTGTTACGGAAGTGCTGTTTCCAGGGGGTAAGACAAACTTTGAACTTCATCTGAGTAGCCTATAATTTTAACAATCCAATTCAAAGTTGGTCAGCCATTCATGAACACATGAAGGATGAATGCAAATGACTGAATCAATGTTGTACCAAGTGGAAATGTCACCTCAAGGCTATGAACAGTAGATTAGGAAGATATTTCCCTTGCCAGTGCTCAAGGACAGCTTCACCTCACACATCAGCCAAGCTCTGAAAAAGCGGCGTAATGGTGAGAACTTGAGTGGAACCACTTGTGTACCCTGCGGCATGCCATCACCCTTTGAAATGCTGGGCCAGTAGCCAGAGGCCAAACTCCTGTTGCTGGCATCTTTGTATTCTAATTGCTGGAGACTGCAGGACAGAGATGCACGGATAAAGAAACCAGATCCTGCTTTTTAAAATAGTGGTTCTGATCACTACTGCTCTCTGGGGAGTCTGTGCAATCAGATATCCATCTGTTCTTGGAGAAAGATGAGAGTCATAAAAAGGTGAGATTATGAAACAGGCAGGTAAAAGTGCAGAAATCTGTCTGTGTTCTTTTTTCCATAGAGATGATGAAGCATGAGACAGGAGGAGTTGAAATGAAATGGTAAAATAAATAATAAAGACACTTGTGTATTTCTGAAATCTACTTTGAATTTAAAAAAAGTGTGACTACACGCATATATATGCACCAATTATCAGTTTACTGTCCATGGCCTCTTTCCAGAGACCGAAATGTATGAAATATTTTTGCTACATGATCTTTTCTAGGGCCAATTTAATTCAAAATGAAATATAGCTGATATGCAACCTGGGTATTTTTAAAAAATTTGTGGCAGCAAAATGTAAACAGCCAAAGTTTTGTTTTGCATTTACACAGATATCAAAAAGAGAAGACTGCATTATACTGTAGCACTGAAGAAAATAAAAGTTTATTCATTGACTAGTAGGCAGCTTTTAATGAATATAAGATGAAATACAGAGAAGTTACTTGTAGAAGTCTTGGCAACACATCTGACGTTCAAATATATCAACTGGCCAAAATATTAACAGAGCTGAGTATTGTGTTTGGTGGTGTGTGTATATCATCTCTCAGTCAGCTGAGATGAATTCCTCTTTGCCAATCACTGTTGCCAGTGGAAAAGGTTTTGTCACTTTAAGTGAGCAAAGCTGTGGGCTAAATAATTTTTCAGTGCCAGCCATTTGTAGACTAACGTGCAGGCTAAAGTGCAGGACATTGGTGTTTATTGCAGGAGGAAATAATTTCCTTACAAGGGCATTTTGACCCTTAAATGATGGATTTCAGTATAAGCTTCATGTCTGTATGCTAAGCATGAGGCTACAACCAGCCCCTTAGTTGAGCATGAAGACTAAAAATTACTGAACTTTAGAGGTGCTGGTGTACATTGATCTTTTGACAGAGCCAGGCAAGCTTCTTGTCTTTCTTGTCTTTATAGTAAGCTAAGCTGCCTCCTGACTCAAGCCAAGTGTTCCAACATAAGAGTCACTGTCTATTTAAATAACTTTTATTCTCCCTTGAATGACTAAATTGAATAAATCTTGATGTACAATTTGCATCAAAAACATACAATTAATCAACGTATGCAATACGTGTGTTGTCAACATATGGTTGCAAAGTTTTGTAGAGAAATATTATTGATGATCTCTTTTTTTTCTGGCAAGTATCTTGGCAATAAACAGTAGGCACATATGCACGTACACACACACACACACACACGCACACACATGCACATGCACACACACACGCGCGTGCACACACACACACACACACACACACAGAATGTGAGGAATGGTGTCTCTGAGGCCTTGTTGACACCCTCTCTGTCTCTCCACTGATTTAGAAGGTAACCCTGCCAGCACTGTTCTATCCTGAACATACACACACACACACATACACACACACACACACACACACACACACACACACACACAGCTGTCTGAGTGGGCCGTGGTCCACCCTGGACATAGATGCCTGTACCCCTCACCCTGCTTTATTCAATCACCACAGCATTAGATCTCTGTGACAATGGGAATCCCTGGGTGAAATAACTTTTGGTCTGACACTGGCAGAGCAGCAGGGTGATAAAATGGCAGCCTTTTTGATCTGTTAAATCCTCTGGGAATGACCTTGGAATCTGGTGATGGAAAGCTTCAAGGGAATTTTTCTTATACACACTTTGTCCTGCAGTGACCCTTCTGTCTGTACAAGAGAAGGTGTGTGTCAAGGGGGTTTAACACTAGTTCAGAGATAACACTGTTCTAAGCAGCTGTCAAGTGAGAGATGAGCTGAGAGGGTCACTGTCACTGTTTTCTTAGCGTCAGCAGATCATAGAGGAAAGCAAAGGTAAAGATACAATGGGTGTACGCAACCATAAAAATTCACCACGTAAGTTTTTTTTTTTTTTTTGGATATTCTTTTGCTTTCTTGCTGAGAGTTAGAGGAGAAAATCAATACCCCACCACTTTCATGTCTGCTAAATATGAAGCAAGCTACAGCAAGCAGGTGGTTAGCTTAGTCTAGCATAAAGAGTGGAAACAGTGGGAAATTTGAAAGGCAGTTGACAACAGAGCTGCCTTAAAGCACCTCTAAAGCTAACTAATTCATATGTTATATATTGTTGTTATGAATTGTTTCGTTAATCCATACAAAAACCTAAGTGTGACTGTTTAGCAAACAGTCCAGAGAGTGGTAACTCTAAGCAAGAAAGCAGACAAGTATATTTTGCAAAATGTTGAACTACAAAATATATTGAACAGTATGTCTGCCGATGGAGATTGATTGAAGTGTAATATAAACTTTGAACAGGAAACGTTGTTACATTTTCAGCTTTTCCAACATCAGAGCTATAAAAAAGACATAATCTACACTTACCCAATGGTGCTTATACTGTACAGTATATTTGCCCCTCTTTGCCCATCAGCCTGTCTTCACTCCACTAAATGGAATTAGATTCATCCTGGCTGCCTGTGTATGTTCATCCATCAGTCAAGTCAAACTCAGTCCTCTCTGACTTCTCTGTAACCTATGTATCCTTTTATTGTCATTAATGACTAGCAGATGTCGTCCAACAGCTAGAAAAAACATTCAAAGTGAGTGTCGCGCAGTGGCAAAAGGTATTGCATTGTATATGTCATCATACTTTTGTTTGGACCCTACAAGTCCCTCTGCTTGCATATAAGGCATGACCTGACAGAGCAGACAGCATGATGAATTGTGGCATCAGCTGGTTTAAACCCTACTCGCCTACTATTTTTTATTTTTTTGGAAAGGTTGCTCTGTTATTTGTCTCTGTTCATGTTTGTTCCACAGATACTGAGTGATACTATTACATTTTGCTATATTCATTAGACGATGTGAATATTGTGTTTGGAATAATTGTAATCCACCTAGTATCTGTAATAATGTTTTATAAATAACCCTTAGTCCCTCCTCTTTTGTGCATGTGTGTGTGTGTGTGTGCGTGCGTGCGCGCGTGCGAGACTGAGAGAGGGAGAGAAAGAGAGAGACTCTGTATGGTTTTGGAACACTCCAGTGGACAAGATTGTGGAAAATAACACAGTCTATTGGTCAGTTAGTTGGTGTGTGACATCAGTCTGTGTGTATGTGAACCGTGGGCGGTCCACTGAGGGATGGCTACTTTAGGAGTGGGTCCTGCCCCTGATGACCAGAGAAAGCTGGACAACAGCAGGATCAGCTGCTACTGGATGCTTCAGAGAAGAAGAGCCACAACAGGGAAGTTTCCCGTGAGAAGACAAGCTGCTGTATCAAAGGTCAAGATAAAGAAAGGAGCAGACAAAAACATCTGATTTCTCCTCATCCAGTTCGTTCTGAGATCACAGCCAAAAGAGGAAAGGTAACAGCTCGCTAACGGGATCTGGTTTGGGTTATCATTCTGAGTAACGGTGTCATTATTTCAGTAATAATGGAGGCTACCAATCCAATCCAAATATCTGCAACTGACAACTAAGAAATGAAAAAAAAAATCAATGCGTTTAAAAGGACTTGCTCAATGTATGTCAAATAATGTAAGGTTCAAAAATAGTATCTTTTTGATCATCAACTACTTTTCCTTACAGTCACTTCTATCCTTATTGTATTTATGTTAGTCTATTATTGTTATTGGTGTTTGTGTGTGTGTATGTGTGTGTATGTGTGTGTGTGTGTGTGTGTGTGTGTGTGTGTGTGTGTGTGTGTGTGAGTGTGCGTGTGCGTGTGTGTGTAAGGGGATATATTGGCCCTGTTCCCTGTTGAGTGATGGTAACTGTGAACAGATGTAGCAACCCAACTGAGAAGTGACTGATCCCTTTAATCTATGATAAGAGAGGCGACATACATGCACACGCAAATACAGGTCACATACATACACGCTTATATTCAAATACCTATAGGCTTTGCTCACCCTCTATTGTGTTATTTCTGCTTTTTTCCACCTCTTCACCACCACTAACCCTAACCCTCTCAAGTTGTGGATCAGTGTCCAGAAAGGAGCCACACCCATCTGCAACCTTCCACAAATCTCCTTTTGTCCCTCCCCTCTTCTCAGCAGCAGGACCCTCTGCTCCTCGCCAGTCTCGCCCAACCTCTCAACCTGTGATACGACCATGGATCGCTCAACACAGGAGCTGTTCCTCAACTTCATGATTGTCTTAATCACTGTGCTGCTGATGTGGCTGCTGGTGAAAGCTTACCAGGACTGAACCACGGTGCAAGAAGTGAGGAGATCAATGGGAGGCAGAGGGGATGGAGATATAGGTGTGGAGGGATGCCAGCATGGTTACTGTAGGACTTTGCGCACAGTGTTTACATCTTTTCATTCTTTTAGACTACGCTCACTGGTCCGATCCAGCCCTCTAGTATTCATATGAGGTCAAAAACCATGTGATTGCTAAAGCCAAGGCAGGCTGTCAAAGACAAACTAGCCTTGGATCCAAACTTGTATTCTGAGATGTTGATGAATGCAGCCTTGAAATTCTGGCAAGAGACAGAAGGTTAAATCATAGTACAAATGGAAGGTGAATAAAAATAACTGAACTGATTTGAAACCTTTAAAGTGACTGCTAGAAAACAATCCAATGTTACTATAGATAGTAGTATATACAGTAACCCATGTCACTGTCATTCATGTGACCTTCCATACATCAAACTATGCTATTATGTCTATTGTTCTGTTTCTACTAAAGTGATGAATATGTCAAATGCAGACACTGTATTTAGACATCGACACAAATAATGAAGCATTGTGTTTATGCTCACTTCTTGCCATAAAGCAGTCTTTCATTTGTTGGATTCTTTTTCTTTTTCACAACACAAACTTATTATGCATTCATGATTTACAGTATGAGGCCCATATTTTTCTCCTTGCATTTCCTGAAACTTTAAGTTATTGCATGCTTTGAAGCTACAGTGTTTCTCTATGATAGGCAGGTACAGATAAAGCTGCACATTTGCATCAAACAAGCATTTACTGAAGAAGCTCAGGTGATTTAGCTATTGGTCAGATGCAGAAATGCCATATGTAGTCTAGCATGTGAGAGTAAACAGGGCATGCATGTATACATGACAGTCTGAAAGAGAACAAAGGCAAGTGGAAATCCATCTAGATAATTTACACAGTATTGCCATGAAACCATTTTAGCTGAATTGTAAATTGTGTAATATACATGAGCAGCTCTCTATCAGCTAGAAAAACAGAATTAAGAGAGGGCAATCAGGAAAATAATATGGAAAAGCCCAGATATAGGGCCAATTTCTGAAAATATTACAAAATAAAGTGTCTTTTCTAATCTTTGCTATCAAATAAAATCAGATATAGCACATTTAGTTGAAAGGCCTTCCAAATAGTCCACTATACATTCATATCATGAGTTTTTCTTACATGGCAAAGTGCCTACAGGGACCCTTGTGGCTGATACCATATTTTGTGCACTGGTGCCATAACAAAAATAATCTAATCCATTCAGGCTGCAAAATCACCAAATTTGGAAAAAAGTCAAGGAGGCTGAATTCTTTGGGCTGTAAATGGGGCCTCAAAGGTATTACATAATAAAGTCTTCTTTTCTGTCTTCTATCTGTAAGAGAGCTGATAAATTTACAGATACCGTGAGTTCTTCTTTGAGTGGATTCTCCATTTGAAACATATTAAACAGACAAGAAAAATATTCATGTACTAAAATAGGATTTCTAAAATAGTCTTCTGCTCAATAGGGTTCCTCCATGGGAGGGACCATATTTAGATTGACACAACAAAGAGCCTATGACGGCAGGTGTTTCACAAATACAATTTTAAGGATCAATTCATTCAAATAAAAAAATAAATAAATCATTTGGCTCAGGTGCTCTCATGTTATGATGATCTGTAAGAGGAGATGTGGTTGTTAGTTGAAGACAAACTCTTGATTGTCATTCTCTCTTGAGGTGTTAGCTTTGTCCATCATGCGCACAGGTTTGAAAGGCAAGGGAGACTCATCATGGGTAGTTGCTTACATCATGTAACACACATGTACATCCACTCCCATGTTTGGTGCGTGGTTGTGCATGGTTGTGTGTCTGCTGCGTATCATGCTGTGTCACCCCACGGGTCTCTGTATCTGTTGAAGCTGACGAGTTGGCAGTGGAACTCAGTGAGCGCTCTGGGCATGGGCGCCACTTCCTCCCATTGACTTCTCCCACTGTAGTACACCTGCACAGGTAATAAGAAAAACACACCAATTGTACAAATAATATAGGAGTATGAATCACCTGTCAAGCCTACTCATACCTGGTTAACCCATTAACCCAATGGGTCCCCAGTGCTTAGTCTCCTCTTTCCTGGTCTCCATTACATCTGTCCCAGACCAGACTAATACAATGACTTCCCCATCTTATTCACTTTCTCACATCCACCAATACTCAACCTTAAATCACATACTGTTGTGGTGTGGTAGAATGGATTAATATCTTGTGTCAATTTTAATATCAAATGTTGTAAGTTGCAATTTTTGTCTTTTTCAGTGGGATAATTTTCATGCCAGTGTTTCTCTGATCACTTCCTCCAGCAAATTTGCCATTTTGCCATTAGAAAACCTGTCACTGCATCAGATAGGCTCCACCATTAGCTCATGAAATAATGACTTAGAACACTAGCTTAAATAAAAAAAATATCTTTCCTACCTGAACTTCATCAGTGATCTCGTCAGGGGAATAATCTCCACCCAGGATGTAGATTCTGTCTCTCATACCAACTGCTCCAGCATTGAACCCTGCACACTCAAATGACCCTTGACCCTTCCACACGCAGGTCTCTGGACAAAAACTATAGACCTGGATGGGAAAAAAGAGACACTTTTAAACTTTTCTGTGCAAGAGGGTCTTAAACTAAATGATCCTTTTTAATGCTTTTAGACTGCAAAGCAATGACTGATCGACTCATTCACTCATCCGTGCCCATCTGATAGCCAACCTTATAAGTGGACAGGTCACAGAGGTGGAGTGTATGATGAATTGACACTGCCTTGACCAGTGTCGCGTGGAAGAACTGGCCAAACTCTGCCACCAGACGGCTCCACTGGTCCTGCTGGGCGTCATAGCTGAAGAAGCAGTCCAGTGAGGGGTTGAAGGAGTCTGTGATTTCCACCTCTGATCCAAGAGTATAGATAACGCTGCCACAAGCACTGGCCTCAGGATAGAAGATGGCTGTGGGCAGTGGGCTTACTGAAGACCAGGTCTGGTTCAGAGGGTTATAATATTCCACCTAGATTAGGATAGAAAAGAACAGAATTTGTCCTGTGTATTTCAAACAACAATTTGGTCTCGATCATATGTAGAGGACACACCATTACCTCCAGCAGACTGGGAGCCCCCCCTCTGGATCCCTTGGTCCGTCCCCCGATGACATACACTCGGTCCAGGCAGGTCACAGCTGTATGCATGGTACGGGGCTTCAGCATGACTGGTGCAGGTGTGCAGGTTAGGGTCACAGGACAGAAGCACCAAACCTCATCGGTGGCATCGTGAAACGGTTCTGCCACATGGAGACGTATTGCCCGGCAACAGTTTCCACGACAGCCACCTGTTACAAACATCTTATATCCAGTGGAAAGAGGATAAGATGGTGAAAATATTCAAACTCTAATTGAGACCATGATGACAACACATTTAGTTAGAAATTTTGTTCCAAAACACTGTAAATTCATTGATCTTACTCAGTACTGTATGTTGATTCCCTGAGTTTGGGAAAATACAGTCATGTGAAAAAATAAGTACATCCCATGGAATTTTGACAGACAGGTTCCACCTTCCACTCCCTAAGGATGTTCTAATCATTGCAAACTAATCTGGAACACCTGATTCTAATTTTAAGGGTTTGAAAGTGTGATGTATGATTGATAATCACTTTTTCCACGTGACTGATTTTTTTTTTGTGTTAAATTATGAAAATGAGTACAAATGGCCTATTTTTATGTCTTATTTCTTTGAGTATATCACCTTTATTAATAGGCACTGTTTCAAAGGGCTTCAGATTGTTTAATTTTAAAGCATCACAAGCCCAAACTGTACCTTCTCAGCATAGCCGGTCAGGTATGATCCCGGTGGGTCTGGCAATGTGGTTGTCCCCTCCCCATTCCCCGTTTCTAACTCTTTCCACTGGTCTGTTTCTAGACAGTAGCAGAAGGTGTGGCGGATCTCTCCGTTCTCCTCCGTCTTGTGGATGTAGATGTAGCTCTGCGCAGTTGCTGGCCTGGCATCGGTGAGGAGGCCGTTGTACTGAGTCTGTCTGCTCTGGGCCTCTGACAGAAGGACGAGACAGGACTCATCGTCACAGATCAGAGTGTCTGAATCATGAAGACTCTGAAAGAGAAGGTAAGGGGTGAGTTGCACATGGAAGGATGAGACAATCACAAGACTGCTGACTGCATGAAATCCTAAATCCAAGACATGCAGTGTGATTATACCTTTAGTGCAGATGCAGGTAGATGGTGCAGTCTGGTTAGAGACAACAATCCTGGCAACAACTTCTGCCTTCCTGGGAGATCGTGCCGTATCCATCTAAGAAGTGACATAACCACCGCCTCCTCACTGGGCATGTTTAAAACGTCACACTTTAGGCATGCCTCCAACACATTTACCTATAAGAAACAATTGAAATAGTAAATACTGAGTGAGTCCTTTTAACCATTTTGTCACACTTTTCCAAGTGAGCAGGATGATAATAATGTCACTTGTCAAATCAAAAACATTTTTTATACTATTATTGCTAATTTTACACAACAAAAGCCTTTTGGAAGAAAGGTCACACCCTACACTGTCAGAGCTAGATTTTTATGATTTTCTTTAATGTAACTGAAGGAACAATGTTGTGTCCTGTATCTAGAAATTAAATGATTTCGGCACATAATGCTGTTTAGTGCTGCATACTCTGCATACATAATACATAATTAAGGTGTGAAGTAATTAAAGGAACATATGGATTTATTAACAAATATTCTATATTCATCAATGTATAAACCTAAGCCTCTCTGATAAAAGGGTTTTGTTCTTAAGCAGCACCTGCATATCCAGAAAGTCCTGGGTTTTGGAAAGTTCAGAGAAGTTCTGAAACACAAACTCATTGGCACTTTTGAGGAGGGAGGCCGAGCCGTAGCCCTCAGCGACGGACAAGAGGGACAGACAGTTACAAAGATCCATGGTTCCTATCAGGAAGTCACTGCATGCTTTGGACAGGACTGATACCTGGAGAAACAACAACAATGGGGAAAACATACACATGACATCTTGTACAGAGATAAAAAAAAATGCTTAGAGATAATTTAATTAATCAATTTAAAGATGAAAACCACTGACAAATACAGTGCAAACACAAGTACTGCATTAAGCACCTTAAAATTGTTTACACTTTTGTTTTCAGTACATATTGTTATCATTGGCTTAGCAGAGTTTTATTTAAGTAAAGTTACTAAATTCACAGAAGCCTCATAATAACCATTCTGAATTGACATTTTATTTCCACTTCAATTATCAATATTTGAACTGATGACAAAATGGCAGATGAGTGCCAGTTTAAAGATATGCTACTTATGATACAAACTCAAATAATATGAAACAAATGACACACACAATATAACTGCACAATCTGGTCCAAAATTTATTGAGATGTTGTGACGAATCCTTACCAGATGCAGCATTTGTCTAGATGACATCCTGAAATGTTAAAATACATTTTTGGACCAGAGTATGTAGTTTTGTGTCTTTTTTTTTTTGATGTTGAAGTTCTTCTCTTTAAACCATTTACTCAGCAACTGCAGTGCCCCCACCGGTTACATGAGGCTGAAATCAATTCACACACAGCATTTTCTCTTGCAGACATGATGCACGTTTCAGAGAAAGAAAAGGGAAAGAATGCAGAGATGTTTAGTGGGCGCTAATGGTTGTATTTCTACCTGCAGAAAGGAGGCAAGCTGGTACAGCATGTCTACATTGCTCTCAGTGATGAGTGCCTCTCCAGAGTAGGCAAAGTCCAAGAAAGAACCCACTGCCACCGGACACAGGTTACCCAGAGTCACGGAACCATCACCACGCTCTCGCATGTCCACCTCGAACATAGCCCTAAACACAGAGCAGTTACATATGATACTGATGTAACAGATAGATAGATAGATAGATAGATAGATAGATAGATAGATAGATAGATAGATAGATAGATAGATAGATAGATAGATAGATACCTGAAGAAATCACTGCATGCAGCAAGAACACAACGATGACAAAGAAAACTGCGTTCCTGGACCTTAATGGTGAAGTCAAACAGCAAACCTCGCTCCCTCAAGGATCTGAGCACGCCCAGAAGCTGCAGTCCATGGGACTCAGACACCCGCAGCAGGGTCCGGTGCTCTGGGACCCCGTTGCATTGTGGAGCGCTGCCAGGTTCACTACTGGGAGGGCTGTTGCTGGAGTTGTGGGCGTTGGTGATACAAGAGGATGACTCTTGATTTTCATCCATTTTCCCAAATTCTGACAATATGAGACAAATATAATAAAATCCATTAATAAATCCAAAGGTCATAATGTATTTTCAAAGAATGTGGTGAGTCTGAGCCTGTCCTCTTCTGTGAATTTATGTGTCTGTGAGAGAGTTGAGTAGCATAAAATGCATGAATGCATTCACTTCAACACAGTAACACAGTCCCACTCTACAGTACAAGCATATTACTGAGAACAGTTTAAGAAAAGAGCTTGGCTTGTATAAAGCACATTCAGCATTATATCACAATTGCTCAGATCTAAATGAAAAGATTTAGCACACTCACTTAAATGATGCATTGCTGTTAAAAGTCAACCATATACATATATAGGAATACATTAAAAATATAACCTACCGGTATGGTCTGAGGCAGAGTAAGCACTACTCACAGTGTCAGCACCTCGGACAGCTCTCTTTCTCATGCCATTCCCACTTCCGGAGAGCTGAAATCACGCGAGGATTCGGACAGCTTTTTGTTTTTTGCGGTGATCCTTGTCGCTAACATCATCTTTGCTAAAAGTGCGCTGTTTTACCAATAACAATTCGATAATTTTCTCGTTTATATACCCCCTCGAGCTATATGCGTGTATACAGTTCTTTGTTTGCGGTAGAGATAGGCGCAATGACAGCTGGGAGCTGTAGTTCTCTCTTATTGGTTAGCTTAAAGCTCAAAACTCGGTGCCCAATTCATATCTACGGTCTAGTTGTCAGTGGTTACAAATATTAACAATTTTCAGTTGCAAATGGAATAATTGAGGGTTCACAAATACTATAGGCTGGAATAGGCAGTTACCTAGTAAAATGTTTACTAGTAAACCCTCTGGGTTTGCTGGCTGTAACTGTTAATGTTTACATTTGTTCTGCAGATAGCCATAGTGTTTATTTATTTATTTAGACCCTAAATGCAGCAATCATGACACAGCACTTGATACGTAATTGAAAAAATAATGACTATTAATGGGTAAATTCACACGTAATAGCACAAGAGACAGGCTAAGTAAGGAAACATAAATAATTACATTAAAATACATAAATAAAAATAATATAACTACATTCATATACACTCAGTTGGCAGTTTTTTTAGACACACACACACACACACGCACGCACACGCGCGCGCGCACACACACGAAAAAAAAATCCTTTGCGGACACTGAAAGTTTGCCTGGTTTGGATATCACAGGCATAGATCTCTGCTTTGTGTATATCCAGATAATTGAGGCAATGTGGTGCAATGCATTTACTCGTCACTGGATGGTGCTGCCTTGCTGTGAAGCAAGATTTGTGGTTGTGCTTTTGCATCAGGCACAAACACTGAATCTGAATCAGTGAAAGTAAGCGTCCAGTTATGCTGCAGTACCGTTTCACCACCACAATGTTGCTGCTGACCAAATAACACTCTCCTGCCTGGAAATGTTGATTACAAAAGAAGATGCATAACAGCAGGCTTTTGTAGACATGGACTAAAACTACTACAACGTGTTACCTCAAGTACTAACGATAATAATAATACGCATGCAACGACATAACGACATATTACTACTCATCTCTCAACAACACACAAACCATGGAGTCAATCCTGGATAAAGTGCACAAAACACATACAAAATAGAACAAAGAACTAACAACGTGATTACACGATATAATGTAAATTATACTTCTTTCTTCATTTCCATCGTAGACCAACCTACAGTAGGCGATTTACACTGACCAGCTGGCGCTTCATTATTGAATGATTAAGAGGTCCTGCAATATTAGTGAAAACAAAAACTAAGGCCATTCCTTCAATCATTAACTGTTTTCAGTTGGTTATACCGCGGCGTCTCTTATTATTATTATTATTATTATTATTGTTTTTATCATCATCATTATTATTATTATTATTATTATTATTATTATTATTATTATTATTATTAAAGCCTCTACAATGTATGTTATCGGTGGGTCGGGCCCCCTCCTCTCTTCTTGCATCCCTGCATCCCTCCCTCCCTCTCCCTCTCTCCCTCCCTCCCTCCCTCCCTCCCGGCAGTGCATCCCCATCCCCCACACGGTGGCCGTCTCTTTGGGTGAAAGCTGTCTTCCCAACGCCACTGGCCCAACAAAACGCTGCTGTAGCAGAGCCAGTCCGCACCGACCTGAGCAGAGCAGATACACGGGAGAGAGCACGTACACACACGGGGAATCTTTTTTGTTCGACCGAGTGGCTTTGGTGAGTCTTATCCGCTGTTTATTATGAAGGGCAGGAATGTCCATGTGTCGACTTGCTAGTTGTTCGTTTTTTTTCTGTCTTTTTTTTCTCCTCCGTATCCCTTCAATTGTCCTCCGTGGTAGTGGCTACAGTGGGGAACTAGCGAGCTAAGCTAAACGAGCTAGCTCAAATAGCGGAATCAAACTGAAACGAGTTGTCCTGTTGGTAAAGCTTTTAACGTTAGTGGTTTGCGGCCAGATGGTAACAAATACCCGCAGTTGTGACGGTGCAGTCTGCTCTGACCTCCTGTGAGTATTTTTCATTCTTATTTGCTAATCTTGCTCCAGCTAGCTCGCTAATTAGCAATTTGGGCAGCGTGTGTAGAGGGATGCGGGGATGCTACGGCGGGTTAGCGGTTGTCTTTTCAGGCTAGCAAGCGAGCTAAGCTAACGTTAGTATTATGTGACCCACACGGATTCCTACACGGGGTGCTTCGGAATGGTTGAACGGCCATGCTAACGGTAGCTAATCTGGTGATAATTGGCAAGATGGCATCTTGGAGTTGTTATCTAGATTTCGGTGGATTTTCAAAATGGTGTCTTAAGCTTGTTTGAGTGTGACCATTTTTGTCCAACCATGGCTGTTTTGGCGTTGCTGGCTATCTGTGGAATGCAGTGCACCGCCAGTGCATGCCATACTATGATGGACATAACTACATATTAACCACTGATGCGGTGGTAAATACAAATGCTTCCATACTATGCCGAGTCCTCCAGGCTACAGTCCATGTTATGAACAAAGTGGAACTAATTTGTTTTTAACTGAGTTTTGTAATGCATCTGTGTCGTACTAGATAAATGTCACAAATGCTGTCTGCTCAAAATGAGGGATAACGTCTATTCTGCGTATGTAAATATTTGCAAATGGAATTTAGGTGGTCAATTACATCAATGCCCATCACTTATTCCTAAATTCAGAACAAACATGGGGTTTTTCACCAAAGGTTCAGTTTCAGTTACATGAGGATCCCAGCTACTGCAAGAGGAAGTATTATCAATGCAAAAGTGCACAGAGATTTACCATGGTGTGATGGTCTGCTAATGGTGATTGTCATAATTGATTAATATGTATAATATTCTATGTTTAATTTAGTAATCTTTCAGTCCGTAATATGTCAGAAAATAGTGAACATGCCCACCTCATGTTCATAAAGCCCATGGTGTTATTTTCAAATAGTATGTTTTGCTCAACCAGCTTTCCCAAAACATATTTATAGTGAAATAAAACAGAGAAAAGCGACAATGGTTGGTAAAGAAATTGTTTTTTCAAATTTCTTAGTTATTTTCTGTCAACTTATTTCAGCATTAGAGGAGATGCAGCAGTCTGACAGGGTATCGCTCTACTATCTAACTGTCATAATACGGGTGCTAAATGCAGCCTCACATAGTGCCAAAGAGACAGGATTACACACTATGCTAAAGGCATATTTTCTTCTTTTCTCCTATGACTAGTCTTATCAATGAAATGAATCCTCTTTGCGATCATCTCTTTTTTCGGGTTGGGGGATTACCTGCTTTAGTCATTGACTACAAATCCCATTTAATTCAAGAAGCCTTATCAGTCTAAAGGGATTTGAGATACTACTGTTCTTGGCCCTCAGCAGAGCAACACAGGATAAGTAAACTGTATACAGTTCAGAAATTATTCTGCAGAGACTGGAAGTAGCCACTACTCCATATATGGTAAACATTCGCAGATGTGGTATTTTGATTTAAGTTGTGCTAAAATAAGTTACTTTTTGTTGTTATAAAATCTAATAGGAACCCCTCCTGTCACAGGGCTGAACAACATAAGAGTCATATGGATTCTACCCAATGAAATAACAACACTCAGTCTTAATTATAATGACTGTGCACAATCTTTGTCAGACTCTTGTGAAATCAAGATGCATCTGGCAGAATTGCATCCCCTAGATGAAGGCATATTAAATGCAAGGACAATGCTCAACCTTGAAATCCACTCACAAATTAGAGTATTCTGGTTGCATTTTAAGTAAATGTGTATTTTTGCAGAGAAAAAATAGTTATTTAAAAAAAAAAAATCAAATGATGCTGAACTGAGCTAAATATCTGTTTGCCAGTTTAATTTAATCTTCAGTCTAAGGTGACCCCTGTTTGCCATGCTACAGGAAAGGGGGTGGCCATTTGGGTTTTGGCATACGTTGAGTGCAGACTCATGTGTATGAATGGTGGGCTGCACAATGCAACCATAAAGCTGTCATGCTATTGAAAGCTAGAGTCACTTAATGTTACGAGACTCAGTGGTTCTATAACAGACTGTTGTCTTTCGAGCACTTCATTCTTGTGTGGCTCGAACCTCTTAATGAGTTGCTCATCACAGTTCAATGAACGAACCCTGTACAGACAACCGCTTCCAGATTTACCCTCCCCTCTTGTACCTTGTCCGTCAATTAATCCCTCAACTTGATGACCAACATGTTTTTTTGTGGAGGCTAGCAGATGCAAACATCTGTGTGGTTTCACTAGCTGGAAAGTCTATGATCAACAATGAGGTTGCTACATTTGAAGGTTAATAGTGCTGTAACTGTTAATTATTGTAGTTCATTGCTATTACTATGGCTATAACTAATTATTTTAAATCTCCAGTTATCAATCTAATAATTATCTTTTTAATTAAGAAGTTAATTGTTTTAACTATCAAATGTCAGAATAGTAAAAAAAAAAAGTTTCCTAGAGCACAAGGTGAACTGCTCATATTGTGCATTTTGTCCAACGAACAGTCTAAATTCCAAAGATATTTAATTTACAATAATCAAACAGGGGTTTTCCTGTCTGAAAATTTGGCGGGGGTGGTACTAAGCCGTACGACCGATGGGATGTCAAGTTAATTTAGGGAAACTTTTCGAGAAGCTAGGTGTGCTTGGATGTAAAAGAGATAATATTCATCTGTAGGGTTGCCACCTTTTATGTGAAAAAGGATGGCAACTGGTTTGGTTTTACTTGACATTACATTATTCACAGCACTTTGAGGACATAACATAAATGAAAAATCAGGTCACCGCCTCCTTCCGCAGGCAGAAAATCCAGCGCGTTCGTATTCTTCTTTAGCAATTTCGAATGGCTCTGCCTGATGCACGGATTACGATACAGCGCCATTACATTGCTGTAGTGGCATACAGCCGCAAATGCAGTTACAAACGTCAGATCCACGAGTACCGAGAAAACAAGTACTAGGATTTTGTCGGGGGGCGGAGGCGGCATGAAATTTGACGGAGGCGGCCACCTCCCAATTCTCTATGCAGGAAAAACCCTGCAAACATATAAGCAGGAAATGCAGATATCGAAGATGAAACCAGTGAGTGTTTTGCATTTTTGCTTGATAAATGATGTTAAAGATTAACAGATTATCAGAATTGTTGCAGGTCCATTTTCTGCTGATTAACTAGTTGATTAATTGACAATGTTGCTGTTTATGGCTAGTCTTAAACAAATCCACAAGAAAATATGAATAACATCATAACTGATGGATAGGGGTCTCACAACACCAGAAATTTGGTAGTTGGTACCAATGAAATTCTGATTCTTGATACCAAATTTGATACCACAGCAAATCACAGGCTGCTCTGCACACACCCATATGGTCATTGTGCAAGCAGTAGTTTAAATTGACTAACAAGATGACCCGTGGTGTGAAAATATTCATTTAAAAAGTGGCTGTTGCTATGCTAGCCTAAACAAGCTAATTTTAGCCGTTTAACATTGTGTGTGTGGAGTGTTTCTACAACAGCTGTTGCAATTCAAAAACAATACTGGTAACATTTCAGGATATGAACATTTTTGGAAATATGTTGATAAAAAGTTAAAAACTTTCTTTGAGGTTCTTAACTAAGTTTGAGGTATTTCTTCCTTCTTCTTTTTGAAATGCTGTGTGGCAGTGCTTGCTTTAGGTTGTATATAACTTGTCCCTGAAGACCCATGTCAAACACAAAATATCTCCATACACCAGTCTTGCCGCTTTGTAAAAAAGTTTTTTAAAAAATTTCCAAAAGTCGCCACAGACCTTTGTACTCACACGTGTCACTGCCATTCTCTGTGTTGTTATTTTTTACTGTGCCTGCCTTGTTCTCTTCAAGTTTGATGTCAGACTAGCACTTGTAGGGTTATTATACTGCCAGTAGTCAGTCCCAGAAGAATCACAGCTCAAGTACCCACACCTTTTACAGTGCCAATAGCAGCACCAATAGTGTTAAATTTTCATCAGATCAATAGATAATATACTCATGTTTATATTTTCTGGTTGTGACCTTTTCACTGCATACCAATAACCAAGTTTCTAATCAGCTTTTTATTTTTGCTGAACATTTGAGTATTTGTCATATCTGGAGAAATTTGGATACTGACATGCTGCATGTATACATGGATTTACACAAACCAGGTTATTACCTGAGGAACCTGGTTACCTATGAGCATGTGAACAAATTGATTGTAAAATAATATTTAATTATTTTTTTAGTAAATGAAATAATGGAATTATCCTGTAGCAGCATTATACTTTTATTTGCGCTGTACCACTCTAGTAACCTAAAATCAGTTTGTAGCGTAAGTCTATCACATTTGTGTTGAGATGGAACAAGATGAGCTCATTGTTGGGAAAGATTGATTCTCTAACATGTACCCAAACAGATTCCTGATTGGTGTTGCCTGTATACATAATAACTGGGTGGTGTGTGCATGCGTGCGGTGTGTAGGCATGTGTATGAGCATGTGTACAGGTGAGAGATGTCACTGGGAATAAAGGACCAGGATAAAAGGTTGAACTGATTCCTCAAGGCAGTGTTGTAATGCATTCAGCCGTCAGTCATGTTAGGAGGTCTGCGACTGTGTACAGTGTGATCCAAAAGTCTGAGGCTATACACAAGTCAAGTGACTATACACATGGACACAAATGTCTGTGCTGCAAGCTCTTGTTTCATTAGTGATACCTACGGTTATGATCAATGA